ATTTTTAAAACTGTCTTAAATATGACTCCATCCTCTGGTTCAGAACTGCCCTCGTATACAACAGCTACCTCAGCCTTGATAATGGGCTATGATCAACTTGAAATTGAGGGCAACCTTTGTGTACTCTTCCCTAGGGTAAACACTGTCACATTAAAGCCTTGGTAAAGATTTAATGGGAATTATCTCCATTCTCTACTTGGAATATCATTATAAGGAAAGCATACTTTGTTTACCCCTTCCTCCTTTTTTAGATTTCTTTCTATCTCACCCTTGAGAGTAGTTCTAAAAATCGTCAACAGAAGAGCTATCCAAGGATGCCGATTTATTACTTTTTGTTTCAAATGTCTTGACAGGATTCTATCTTGGACATTAAAGTACCAATATTTAAAGGACCTGGAGAGATGCCTGAAATCCGATCATACATGGAAGAGTTCCCTTTCCCATTCTATATCATCCTTCGAGATGTGAATGCTCTTCCTGAGACACTCAGTGATGCCCTCAGACAGTGGTTTGAGTTGGTGACTGCCTCTGATCACCCTTAGAACAGAAAAGCTGTCCAAAGCGAAACTGTTTGAATCATGGTCAGAATATTGCAAATCTTACCCGATACTCCCTTTTGGATAACTGTTTCTGAAATTATCCCTCTAAAATACATTGTTTTGATTTTTAAAATCCACCCAACGGCTACAAAACATATGAAATCTCCTTAATAAGCCTGGGACAGAGAAGGAACAAACAAAAGCCGCAGGGCTCCCGTCTCATAACTGAGGAGGCTATACCCTCCCTGGATCCAGCTACCTGTTTTCCCCTTGCAGAAACATTTCTTGAGATGCATACAGTTTTATGCAGAGCCTGACCGCACAATAAACATGGTAAGAAAATGCACAAAGAACTCCTCTTAGAAGGTAGGAAGCCCAAGTAATCGACATATATAAGTAAAAATGAAGTGGCTTTTCAGTGTCCTCACATTTGCTGCTTCGGGAGACTATGCAATAACAAAGCTAATTTTCCCTTGATTTCATTCTCAGTGCCATAGTTCTATTTGTTATAGTAATTTATTTTTTCCCTTAATAGTTTAGGAGAAGAATCATTCCTTCCACTGCTTTCAAGCTAGACTGAGCCAGTCTCATTCTGGAAAAGAAATGCTATGTCCACAGAATTAAGCAGCTACATCTACTCCCCCCCCCCCCCCATTAAAATACACCATTGGTTTTTCTTTGGCCAGAAAGCAGTAATGTTTGAATACTTGAAACTGTGAGCTGTATTCTATTTAATGTTCTTTTGTAGGCAACATGCTATGACATAATCATCTCTCTCCATGTCTTTAAGTTACACTGTGAAGTCTGCCACCCTTATAGGTGGTGGTCATTAAACACAGATTGCTTGTTGTTTAACCAAATGTCCTAAAGCATGTATCAAGTTATATCATTTTTTATTCTCGAAAGCTATGCAGTTTATATTCTGAAAGTTATTAAAATAATGCAACATTGTTGAGATATATTGTGATTCCTGTGGATTGAACCCAAGGATTCATCACTGACCTAGCTATAACCTCAGCCCTGCTTAGTGAAACTGTTGTCTTAAAAATGAAGCAACTTAAGCTGATTGGCCTTGAACTTGGCATTCTCCTGCCCAAGTCACTGGTACTACAGATGTATACCATCATCCCTGGCCTAATTTGTGATCAGTGGAATATGACAGACAAATTCAAAATATGTGCTGGAGGACTGGTCTTGTCTGCTGAGCACATTTATACCACGTTAACATGATCCCACAACTTTACTCCCATGTCTATGGGTGAGTTGGCAGAACCACACACTGACTCAAAGATTCTGCTTCATAATGACACACACACACCTCTCCCACTCATACTTCACTGGCCAAAGCCCTCTATGGGACAGGAAGTTTAATATTCCCAGTTGGGTCTGATAGGGAAAGACAGCTGCACTGTTATATTTACCTTTAATCAGTAGGTGTAAGATACAGCTCCCCCACTGCTGTGCTCAAAATGAGCTCTTGGCCCTGGGACAGAAGGAATTCTGGTATCAGGTCCCCAAGAACGCTATTTTCAATACATGGGGAAAGAGCAATATCGCAAACTGATGAGGTATAAGGGTTGTGGACCCAGGATTAGAAGCCTGATAGATTCATGAGCAAGGCATTGAGAGTCTGGGCTACTATTAGGACTTACAGGAGTGACGACAAATGAAACTACCACATGACTGCTGACAGGGCTACTATTTGTGCCATGCCCTGCTACTCCCTCTTCCTTCTCCTACTTTCCATCCCCAAATGCCCAGTCTCCTTGACCAAAAAGGCAAATTCTGACATTTGAGGAATTAGAACACAAATGCTCTATATGCTCTTAATAATCTAAAGACACTTTGCCACCCCTATAACTCAACCATTATCTAAGCAAAAGGCCTGCACAGGGTTCTATCCAGGGGTCCAACAAGGCTACTCTGGTATACTTAATTAACATTGTGGTTCACTTAATGACAGGAATACATTCTGAGAAATGCAGCACTAGTCATTTTCATTGCGTAAGTACATTCCATGTTAAAGAACCAACTAAGACAGCTATCATGTCACTAGGCAATAATGGAATCATCACCATGACTTACTCAGATGTCTGCTGGAACTCTAGTTGGGTGATAAACTCTTCAAATGCAACATGTTCAAAATGTCACTATGATTCTATCACAAATCTGTTCTAAAATTCCCCTTCTGTGTTAACTGCTCCAGCTGCCACTGTTTACAAATGTGGAGTTTGGTCTGTACTTGGGCTTTACTTCCCTTTCTATCTCCATCCAAATCCAAAATTAATAATCTGTCAAGTATAACTCCTGGATATTTATACTATCCTATTTCTCTCCCCCATGCAATTCACTGCAGATTGAGCTCTTAATCTCAATGATAATCTGGACTACTTCAATGATAACTCAAATTTGTCTTTGTTTGCTTCACTTCATTCACTGACAACAACCAAGGATATTTCTAAAATTTCTACTTTTGGGTAAAGTCCCTTCAGTTCTTCCTATTGTGAAGAGGACACTTAGAGTGCCTTACTACAACCTATGAGGTTCTTCCCTGACTCTCCTGTTCATTCCCTCTCTGCAGCCCTACCATTGACCTAGTCACAGAAAATGAAAGGTCTTGCAATCTACCAGTGTTCCATGAGTTGTCTGGAATCTTATCTACTTTGACATTCTGACAACCACCTACCTCAGATAACTCCTCCAGAAAGAATAACCTCCATGGTATGAACTTCCAAGTCTTTGAAGACAGTGTGCCTAGCTTATGACAGTATTACCTGTTTCGAAGATGTTTCTGGAAGCAAAGAAGAGTGTAAAAATGTCTGTTCTCACATATTAACTGGCAACACTATTTTAAAATTCAAACAAGAACCTAAAGAAGATTTGGAGAGAAATTATAGAAAACATCAAGGTCATACTGAACACCAGTAATAGATTCTTGTAAGAATCTATTACAGTGTCCCGTCATAACAAAACATGCCAAAAAAAAATTAAAAAACATACTAGTCCAAGACAACAGCCTAAACAGATCCTCAGACTGTAAATATGTACTATATGGTCAAAAATGCATCACAAAGCCCCAGGAAGATAATTATTTACTAAATGGTGTTAAAATTCTAGCTTAGTGGGGCTGGGATTGTGGCTCAGTGGTAGGGTAGTTGCAAGAATTAAGAAAATAAAATAGTTACAAAGTCTCAGATGGGAAGAGACAAAACAAGCCTCAAAGGAAATAAAATACAAATAGTGTAGATATAAAGCTTAAGGATATAAACCATGAAAAACTAGAATAAAAGTCCTAATCAGCATAAATGTGCCTAAATCATGCACAAAAAACAGTAAAAAAAAAAAAAAAAAAATCTAAAATGGCTAGGAGTATTTAGTTGCCCTAGTACTTGAAAAGCCAGATCTGTAATAAATTGTTATACTGTTCATCTGTTAGGACAAAATTTGAAAAATATACCACTGCAATGTGGTCATGAGGTTATTAGCATCACTCACAATGCCAACTAAACTAAGCTAAGGATTAGACTTCTTGTATGTGCCAGGGCCTCTTAGAACATTGCATATGATACAACTCTGAGGTGGATGCTGTATTTCACTTTACACTTCACAGAAAAGGAAACAGGCCAGGAGAAATAGCCACACACAGCTAGGAAAAGGGAACTCATGGATTCCAACAGGTGACTGACTTGAGTGCTCTGTAAATGGGTTAACTGGTTGTTTTTGGTTGTACAATTATTTAATTCACTATTTGGAAAACACGGCAAAAATGCCACAAACTAAGGATGTGTTATGGGGATAAGAACTAGGAGTAAAAGTTTGAAGTGTAGGAGGATATTCAGTTCCTCCTCGTTATTGACAGGAAGCAAAGGAAAAAAAAACGGCTTAAAATCTCAATGGGACAAACATTTAAAACTCCTGTTACACTGTTACAAATAATCATGATGAAGACCACTACAGGAAAAAACAATGAAAACGAGAAAAACTGCAAGATGCAAATGCTTAAATAAGTAACATTCTAAAATACTAAATATGTTCTTCCCTTCCAAAGGAAAAAACAAAAACCTTAGCTTCCATTAATGAAGCCCGTTGTTGCTGAACTTATTGCCGTTTTCCTTAAAAATAAAATTTAAATAGAGGAAAAAAGTTTGCTGCTGCTGAGGGTCAAACCCAGGGCCTTGTGCATGCAAGGCAAGCACTGTACCAACTGAGCTATATCCCCAGCCCCCACTGATAAATTCTTAAATGCATACGGTGCCAAATGCCTTACCATTCTTATTTCGTTATTACAACCACCTTGTAATACACACACTATTACCCTATTCAAACGATGAGCAAACTCGACTAAGACCGGTTAAATACCTAGCCCAGGCTACAGACCTAATAAACTTCAAACTCCTGGGCTTCCCTCCCAAACGCCTGACTTTCGGGGTAGGAACACAAATCCACAAGCGTCTCCCAGGAAACGGAGCTCGCTCCGCCCCCTGACCATTCCCTCACTTCCGTCCTGCGCACTGAGACTCCAAGAGGAACGCATTCTATTTCTGAGATGGCCGCTTCCCGGTTGCCTCCAGCAACGCTGACGCTAAAGCAGGTACCGATGTTCTCTCTTACTCAGGTCAACACGTAATGGTATGAGCTGCTCGATTTTCCACTTTCCCCACCCGGACTACAGTATCTCTCAGGCCAACCGGAGCGGGTCCGCGGGGTTCTGACGCTGCACGCGCACGCCAGTGATTGGCCCCAGGGGTTGGAGGCGGGGCTTCCCCCAAGGGTTGGGGAGGGAGCAAACGGGTAGGCGCTTCCTTTTCAGGGACCGCAGAAAAGCTCGCTCTGTTGGTAGTACCGAGCCATGGTTAAGGGGGGGAAAAAAATTCCGAAAGAATTTGGACAACTGCATTAAATTTAGAAAAAGTGCTATTAATGTTACAGTTTAGGTACCCGGAAACCCTTTTTATACCCATAAAGGTGGTCAACTCTTGATTTTTAAAGGTTCTTAAGTTTTACAAATGACCCACGTGAACCTATTGCCGTTTTCCTTAAAAATAAAATTAAAATAGAGAATAAAAAGTTTTTCTTTGCTGTCTTCAAAATTGAGAACCTGGGGTCGTGGCTGTGGCTTAGTGGTAGAACGTTTGCCTAGCACGTGTGAGGCACTGGGTTCGATCCTCAGCACCACATAAAAATAAAGGTATTGTGCCCATCTGCAACTAAGAAAAAAATTTTTTAAATTGAAAACTAAAAAGACATCGTCTGGTTACAGCTGGTTTGCCAAAGTAAAACTGGCTATCATAATTGTCATTTCTCCCCCCACGTACAGTTCATGAGAAGGCAACAAGTTCTCATGCTCTACAGAAGGATTTTGCGAGCAATTCAGCAAGTATCAAACGATTCTGATCGCAAGTACCTGAAGGACTGGGCAAGGGAAGAATTCAAAAGAAACAAAAGTGCCACTGAAGAGGTGAGAATAGATCATGGTGAGGGCAGTCCCAGACTTTTGTATTAAGTGACCAGTTTTATTAAAAGTTTAGCAGGCATTTTGGAATATAAATGTCACCAAGATGGTATATCTTGATCATTGCTTATAGTGGTACTAATTTTCCAAATTATACTTTAAAATATCTGTATCTATACAGTTGCGCACCTGGTTTTTATGCTGTACCACATAGCTTTTAATTTTCCTAATATTCAACAGTTCCCAGTAATGACAGTTTGTTTTTTGGGTTTTTTTGTTTTGTTATTTGGAGAATCTTTTTGTATGGTGCCAACTCACAGCCTTGTGCATGCTAAGCTCACGCTCCACCACTGAACTACATTCCCAGCCCACCACTATAGATAGGTTCTTGAACTTAACAAAATGGTGAGATTGTACCTTGTTTAACCAGGATAAGTGATCATCAGATTTCCCTTTTTTCTACAGGATGCAATCCAGATGATGATTACTCAAGGCACTATGCAGCTAAAGGAGTTAGAAAAAACACTTGCTTTAGCAAAATCTTAACTATAGCATTATTCTGAAGGATCTTCAAATCTCCGTGTAATTTGTTGAGCTTAGGCTTAACAACGGACAGCTCAAAGCCAAGTCAAACTGTATGTACAGTACTTGAGCAAAATATCAAGATAGAAATGTTGTGTTATAGAGAGCAGAGAAAATCACATTGAAGTGATTGCCTCAGGACTGAAAAATACACTTGAGTTTTGAAAATGTTTCTGGATGTGTCTGCAGTTATTTAAGAAGCAAACCCCATTCTAACATGCCAGTTAATACATGAATAAGCTCAACACACTCATAAGGAAAGTGCAAATCAAAAACCTAATGACAGCGCACTTCATTTCCACTACTGTAGCTATAATTAAAAAGGGAAATAACAAATGTCAAACATGTGGAGAACTTGGAACACTCCCACATTTCAGGTGGGAATGTAAACTATCTGCAGCCACTTTAGTAAAACAGACCATCCCCCTCCTCAAACCATAACATGGAGTTAACATATGATTTAGCAGTTCTCCTAGATCATAATCAAGAGAATGAAACCGTGCACCTATAAGAAATATTACATGAGGGCACATAGCAGCACTAATGATGATAGCCAAGAAGTAGGAAAACAAATATTTATCAGTTAATATATAAAATTTAGTATTTTCATACAAGATATTATTTGGCAATAAAAAGAAATGAAGGACTGATTCATAACATACATAGGTGAACTTTGATAACATTGTTAAAGAAGCCAGTCACAAAAAATTGTATCATACGGATTTGTTTATATGAAATGTCCAGGTTGTTCTGCCTAGGGCCATGGGTAAAATGGAAAAGTAGCTGGTGAATGGGTGTGATATTTCTTTGGGGGTTTATGAAAATGTCCTACAGTTAGATTATGGTGCTAGTTGTACAACTCTGAATAAACTATGAATATGCTCAAATGCATTCTAAATATACAGTATATGAATCAGATCTCAAGCTGTTAAATAGCATTAGATGCAGGACTAGAGACATACTAACCCCAGGAGATACTCTGGAATTTTCTTGAAAAAATCCTTCTGTATAAACCTTCAAGATTGTTGGGGTATGTTCTTCAGATGTGTCATAGTTTGGTAGTCAAAGAACTCTCTAAAAAGACCACTGGGAATCTGGATCTTTGTTGAAAAGAAAAAGAAAAAGAATTTATTGAACACACTGAAACACCAAGAAGAGGAAAGATTTTAGGCAACTTCTGGATGAAATGTCCATAATTGCCTTTTAACATCCTCACAGAAGGACATAAATCATTAAGGAATATCCTTGGTGCATTAGATTCTTCTCCTGTAACAGGAAAAATTTAAGAAACAAATATATTATAGGCTGAGGATATAGCTCAGTGATAGAGTGCTTACTTAGCATGCCCAAGGCCCTAAGTTTAATCTCCTTCACTAAAAGAGAACTATATCCCCAAAGTTGACTTCAGGACACTTTTGAAAGAGGTTTAGTTTATAACATACAATTAATTTAGTGAAAGACGCTGGAATTGCCAGTCTACAAACTGAAGTCCTCCGTTCAACAGAACAAAACTAAGAAGTGAATCAAAAATATGACCAGCACCTGAAAGATGTAGACAGAATTTCACCAGATGATGCCAGTATTGGACTGTATGCCAGAAGAGAGATGTAAACTAATGGTACATATCTTGCCAAGGTCCACCCCCACCTCCTGGAGCTTCAGAGTCCACAAAATATTTCTGAATACCCTTCCACAGAGGTAACCTACTGATTCAAAAAGCTTGCCTGAGCCAATAGGTTTATCAACCTGTTGCAAAACCATCTGATATACAAAAGCATTTGTGAAGAGTTTCTGTACAGAGAACAAATTGGAAATAATTTGTGTGACATGGTTGATATACATAGCAGATATAGGCAGTCTCTAATCCTGGAAATTTTTAAAAGTCACACAGTGTTAAAGTCTGACTTTTGATGATACTCTTCCTAAAGATGTGCATGCAGAATACTTTTAAAGAACACTTGTGGTTTAAATTTGCAAATTGGAAATTAATATTAGACTCCAAGAAAATCTGTGGTTTGGGGGTTTTGGCAGTACTCGGCATTGAATCCAGGGACTCTCTGCCAATGAGTTCCATCCCCAGGCTGTTGTATTTTGATAGTCTCACCAGGTTGCCCAGGCTGGCCTTCAACTTGTAATCCTTCTGCCTTAGCCTACCAAGTCACTGGGATTACAGATGTGTACCACCACTCTGGTTTAATTTTATATTAAAGCAGATAAAACAACTGGAAATTGAATTCTTATTTTCCAGAGGCCAAGATTAACTAACATCCATCCTTTTACTTACCTTTATCTCTAAAGAACAGTTCTTTTCCTTTGTGCACTTAAGTCCTTTATCCCATCTGTATTATTGGCCAACTCTTGCTGTTTAGCCTAAGAGGAAATTCACTTAGCAGTTTCTTCTCAAGTGTGAAACCACAAAAATTTTGGCCAGAATAGAATTGCTGGTGACACATCATAAAGTGATCTTTATCAGTATTCTGGATAAACCTTTCTGGGTGTCTTCTATAAACTGTACTTCTGTGTGAAGATTAAATTTTCCTTCCTAAATTTTAAGAAGTTTGAATTGGGCAGGGTTGTGCACACCTGTAATCCCAGTTATTCAGGAAGTTAAGGCAGGAGGATCATGAGTTCAAAGCCAGCTTCAGCAATGGCAAAGTGCTAAGCAACTCAGTGAGACCCTGTCTCTAGGTAAAATACAAAATAGGGCTGGGGATGTGGCTCAGTGGTTGAGTACTTGAGTTCAATCCCCAGTACCAAAAAGAAAAAAGGCCAGCCAGGGCAAGATGGTGAGATCTTGTCTCAAAGTTTAAAAATTCAAAAAGGCTGAGAGTGTACTTCAGTGGTATAATGCTTGCCTAGTATGTGTGAGACCCTGGATTCAACCCCCAATGGGGAGATGGGGGAGGTTTAAGTATTTAACCTATAATAAACCAATCCTATTTGAAAAGTTAAAGTACAAAAGCTTTGTAACATAAGTGGTTAAGGCCATTTTGTAAGTTTGCCCTTATAAATTAAATTCATGGCACAAGCATTGCTATGTGTATGCCTGTAGACACACAAGTGACTTTCCAGTAACTGAGGAAAGCAAAACATATTCTCTGCTGTGTGAATTATTGCAGTCAAGCCAGCAGACACTCTTGGGAGAGGCAGAGACCCATCCCCTCCTATCTCTATTATAAAATAGCTTAAAAGAAAAGCAAAGCAGCCCAAACCTACCTTTTAAAAAACGAATTGTGTAGAAATTCCCAAAGAGGATCAAAAACACATTATCATTGGAAAACTAAAATCACCACAGGTTATTTCCTTGCTTGAATCAGGCTTTTAGGAAATTAGGATTAAATTTGCTATTTTGTTTACTGAGTAAATCCATGTATATTACCGTCTTTTGCCTAATGTATTTAAGTTAATACACACTTGAGTGTTTCCCCTTAAAAATCACAAGTTTTATAATAAAAGTTCCTCTAAAAGGTCATTGTTTTTTAAACTGGTCTGTCTTTTAAATTTTATGACTGGCTATTACAATCTTAATTTCACATGAAGAAATGTATTTAACTTTTAGGAACAGTTTATCAAAAGGTGTAACAGCTTGGTTTGCATGTTATGTAATTCTACAGATGTTTTATTCTTCCCCTTTGTTCACTATTTTCCAAATGGTCAACAGTTGTTTTAAACACTTAAGATTACATAGAGAAATCTTAACATGTAGTTTCGTTTTGATGCAGTATAGCTGATCTCGACTTTAAAGCAGATATAATTGCTCTAATTTATCCTTTTATAGACACAAGGTAAAGTGTGGCTAGGTAAAGGCACTCTTTCAAGAATCATAAAATTAGTCAATCACAACAAATGACAATAAAGGTAGTCACGCTTTTCATTTTTTTAAATAAGGAGTTTAGGATCTATAGAAGTAAAAACTATGTTTAACGCTTGGAGGAGACAAATTCAAGATGATAAAAATATTAAGGAGAAGACAACCTGCCTCTCAAGTATGTCAACATATGACTCAAGAAAGGATATTGACATGAAACACCACTTCCTTTATTTTGGGCTCCCAAAATCAAAAGTGAGATTAAAACTAATATATTAACATGTTTAATCTATTAGATATTTAGTATACTAAATGCAGTAATGCACTAACAAACTTTAAGAACTACTATTATATAACTTTTCTGTTTTAAATCATTTTTTCCCATAGTGACTGAAAGTTTTAACCTTAGTTTGAAACATAACACTTTATAGCCTGTCATGTAGGTTAACAGTTCCTTCTTTGGAACAAAATACAGTTGAGGTATTTATTCATTTTAGCAGATAGCATGGAGGGAATTTTTTTTAAGTACACACCAGATCTGCATTTAAGTTTTTGTCAAGGTTAAGGAACAAAAATAGGCCTAACTCAGTGAAAGAAAAGCGCCATTGCACTGATGATGTCATCCCTGTGGGTTTTAGAGGCTGACTGGTCTATTGGCTTGGGAGAGGCAGAGACCCATCCCTCCTGTCTCTATTATAAAACAGCTTAAAAGAAAAGAAAAGCAGCCCAAACCTACCTTTTAAAAAACAAATTGTGTAGAAAGTCCCAAAGAGGATCAAAAAAACATTGTCATTGGAAAACTAAAATCACCACAGGTTATTTCCTTGCTTGAATCAGGCTTCCTTGCCTCCCTTGATTTTCTTCCACAACAGTGTCATCTGCCAGCTAGATCCAGCCAGATTAGATCCACTTGACCCTTCTCATTCCTCCCTAGACTAACTACAAACAAAAATACCCAGTTCACAGTGATAAGTTGCCTGCTTCTGATGGGTAGGAGGAATATAATGGAAACACTTCCTCCCATCAAGGCATTCTATGGTCTAGACAGACTTGATAGATCAATTTTTTTTCAGCGTTTATCAACAAGGATACCTTTTAATAGGAAGTGTGTGTGTGTGTGTGTGTGTGTGTGTGTGTGTGTGTGTGTGTTGCTGGGGATGGAATCCAGGGCCTTGTGCGTATGAGGCAAGCACTCTACCAACTCAGCTATATCCCCAGCCCTGATAGGATATATTTTTATGAGAGAATGCCTCCTGTTTGGAGCATAATTTCTTGAGCTGTTCAGGACTTCATCTCTGCTTTGAGTGTTAGGCAATTCCCAGTATATGGGTGTATATGGAGGAATGAATAGTGATATCTTGTTGCAAATAGATTTAGAAAACTGAAGGTACCATCTAGCTGTACAAGTCTGATTCTGCATTAGAAACAAATAGGGAATTGAGAGGAGAGCCTTCCTAGGAATAGTCCACAGGAATCCGGGGGCTGCAGGGAAGAACTGCAGACAAGCTCTCACACACAGGAAATCAGCTTGGAATAATATCCAGTTCATTCTGTATTCGGGTTACATAACAGTGGCACATATCTACTGAATTACTTTTTTTTTTTTTTTAAAGGAATGTTTATATCCTTGGAATGTCACTCTAAGGGGAAAAAAAATAAAAGTTTCCCCCCACCACCACTAGAGTGTTCCATGCTAAAAAGTCACTATCTTCTTTTTGGCTCAATGAGCAACATTTTATTCACAATTATGGCCAACAGTTACCAGGTTCCTATGGTTATAGAAATGAAGTTTCAATGCACATGAAGAATTTTGAGGAGATGCATATAATCCCACATTCCCAGGGACACAGCTTGGAAGAGAGCTGAATCCAAAGTTTCAACATAACCAGGCTACTTTTACAACTTTATTTCTGTGTTTATATTTCATTATGTAGCAAAAGTAAAGTCTTCAGGGCTCCATGAAGCTAGGGAGTAGTGGTGTCTAAATCTAGTTACTGAATTATTTGCCTTCACATTATCACTGCAAAACAATAGAAAGTATCTGAGGTTCTTCAATGACAGAACTCAATTCAAAATGAAATACTTTCAAAAATTTTTCTTATTCCTACAAAATGTACACCAAAAATCTCAAATTCAGAAAGGTACTCTAAGGTAACTGGGTTTTATCATGTATAGGTTGAAGTTTCCAATAATTGTTATAGGAATGGTTTTTTCCATTAATCAGCTGACTGATTAATCAACCGTTTTGGCTGAAAATACAAAAAAATGATCAAATGATATGAACTTTACTCATTCAAGTTCATTATTAAACATTCTCAATGCTATTAGCCAATTACTGAGTATTTAAATAAACTCTTTTCAAGGAATTTTAAGATATATCAGATCTTATGACACCATGAAAATCTCTTCCCACAAAATCCTCAAAATCTGATAAATTTTCACCTAGTTAAAACATCAACATTTTGGGAATTACAAATTTGAGAAAGGAGGTTTTGCACATCACAGAGTTACAACTCTTACATAAAAGACACTCCTTTCTAGGCACAGCAGGTGGTTGACATTTATATGAATGACTACTTGAGTTCATAAGAGTTTGTTTTTTTTCTTCCACTTTTGAACTTTAGGGTTTAGGTTTACACATCATTCCATTTCTTAGTGGGGCTGAATTAATCTGAGCTTTTGAACTTCAAATGAACCTGGACTGAGGTTTAGAGTTTATAATGTAACATGACACTAAGCAAGCTCCCCTGGTTTCAGGTTAATTGTTGAAGACTTCATATCTTCAGGGCATAGGAAGCATATGTCTGGCACACTTCAGAAATTATTGGGTTTTTGTTTTTTTTTTAAAGGCAAGTCTGCTATGTGCACAAAAATCAACTCCATAGGCATAGCTATTCCGTTGTTGCAAAACTGGAAATTCTCAAGAATCCTCTCTTGTTCTACCTTCCAGGTCCTAACTTTCTTTCTGCACTTTAGTCCTTAGTTTAGCAAGTTCCTCTTCTAAACTTTTTATGTGTTCCTTCAGTGTGGCCTTATCTTGCTGGGCTTTCTGATTGGCTTGGCTTCGTGCTTCTTCAATCTTCCTCTCATACCATTTTTCCATCTGGGTAGAAACAGCTTCAAAAAAATACTGGGTAAGCTCCAGGGCTTGGGAGGTGTCTCGAATGTGGGGGGCAGTCAGTTCACTGCCTACAGCTGGTTGCTGCTGCCCACAGTGGGTGCTAGGTGCTGGTTGCTGGGCTCGATGCCTCATCTGCCCACTTTTCCCAGACTTCTTGGTTTGAGTGCCTCTGTTGACGCAAGGCCCAGCCTGCTGATCACATCTGGCTGCCTCATTCAGGGGTAGCAGTGCTGTCTGGACCTTGGCATTCCTCAGCCGGGAGCCTGCACGGTCAGAGGAAGATAGCTCCTGCTGGAGTCTCTGAGCAACAGTGGAATTGAGGGCCTTTTCCTTGGGCCTGACCACCTGAGAGGAGCTGTCAGAAGCTGCTGCTGGACCTGCAGTCACCACTGATTGATCCACACCTGGTTTCAGAAGGAAAGAAACATCAGAGCAAACCCACATTCAACAGACGCATGGCAGTGTGACAGCATCTGTTTGAGAGTCCTGGAAATCCTGAAACCACAAGTCTTCTCAGTCCACACCCATCACATGCAACTTCTCTGTGGTTTTGTTTTCATGTTTTTGTCCCTCCCTTCCACCTGTCTCCCCTGATTATTAGTTTGGCTTATGAGGACTTTTGTGGATTCTCGACAGCCACAATGGTGGCATCCAGTTTTAAAATTTGCTGGCCTTGCCTTTAGCATCTTCTCAATCTACCCAAGAATGCTCTGGGTCTCATTTCCTGATGCCTAATGATGACAGTTCACTAAGCATCTCAGAACAGAAAGGGCATTTTCTATGAGAATATTCCCCTTCTCCAATTTCTGGGCCATAAAATCAAAGTACCAGTTCCTTAGCCCAAGTTCCAATTCCAAAACTGGTCCTCTTCCCAAAATCTCCATAATAAGCTCCATGACTAATCCTGGAATAAAAAATTTGCCCATGATATTTCCTAGTATGTCCGCACAAAGACAAAACCACAGTCCCAGACATGACTGTGGTAACACAAAACATTGGGCTTCCCAAAGGCCCCCCCAGTGAGGCCTAGTTACCAGACACTGAGTGACCTCAAAATTTTTATTGAGTATTACACTATTTAATGTAAAGGTGTTTTGCTTGGAGCACCTATTATCTATTACCTGAGGCAAGTTCAACACATGAACTACTGTTTAATAAGGCTTTGTATAGTTGGACAGAGGCAACAAAATAAAAAAAGTCAAGGAGAAGAAATGGGGAAAAGGCACAAAGGACAAGGAAGAGAGACCTGCTAAGGAGACAGATGGTCATCCATCACCCTTCTATTTGGGGTCCATTCTGACCCCATTCCACATTGTACCTAATACACTGTTATTCCTGATCAATAACTCTTCCATTCCTTCATTCAAATAATGTTTGGGTACTAAAATAAGACCACTTGATTACTTTCTCAAAACTGAGCATGTAGTTGTGAGCAAAACATGGTCCTTTCCCCTAAAGAGCTAATCATGCAACCTGGTGTTTTCTATAGCCCTATCAGAAGGACTACTGCCTTTGAGGCAGGAGAAAACAAGATCTGGGGCTTGCATTACCTTTGGACAAAAGGGCTCTCTCTGTATATTGGTTACCTGTAGAGGATTCACAAGTAGATGGTGTAGATTTAGCCCTGGAGGCCCTAGAATCTCCAGAAAGCTTCAGCTCCAGATTCTGAATCTTTAACACACACCAGGTTTTTAATTCATCCACCAAGGACATCTAAAAATAAATAATAGTATAGAAAAGAATGAGGTGAATTTGATATATGGTTTCTGAAATTTAGCAGTAAGATTAAATTCTTTAGCATTAAGAATGAACTTGTATATTATGATAGTTGAGGTTAACCATTCTGACAAACCTAAAAGTTGTAGATTACTCATCCACCTTCAGGCCATCCCTTGCATCCAAACTGACAGCTATCTATATCTTAAGCAACTTACAGTCACCTTAAACAAAGCTACCCAAATCTTCTGAACCAAGCATTCCAGGCTGCTGAGAAGCATGAGCTCTCGCACATGAGTATTTGTTCCATATCTATAGTCCTAGGTAGACAGTTAACTCCCTTAGGGCAGGAACCGTGTCTTGTTTGACAATGTATAATGGCCCAATGAACCCCAAATACATAGGACTGATTCCTGGCAGAGATGACCTTCCCCCAGCCTGCTCAGTCAGTCCCTACCAACTGCCAGCATATTCTACAACAGACACAAACTACAAGTTCTTTGCTATTAACTTCATTTTGGGGTGGCAAAAATAACATGCTATGTAATAAAAATGATTTTCAGGAGTCCCAGGCTGAGTTTTAATGATAGGCCAGAATCTTTTAAGTCAGTAAACATGGTGAATCATAAGCAAAGGACTGACAGATACTGGTTTTTACCTGTCGTTTCTCTCCCTCATGCTTCTCCGCATCTGAGTGTTGCTGCAAACGATTCACACACTCTGTTCTCTCTGCCGAGAGTCGCTCAACCATCAGTTTGTCCAGAACTCGCATCTGGGATTCAGGGGGAACAGTACATGCTGAGATGATCAAAGGCTAGGCCCTGGCCTCTCTGCTCTTGAGAACATGCCCAGCAGGGTCCAGAGAACAAGAAGAATTCAACTCCTCCTCCCATTAGATTTTCATACAGTGTTCATGGAACTCTAGTTGTTCAAAGTTCCTGAGCATATTTCTATAAGGCCAATGTTGTTTCTTTTAATCATTTATTAAAGTCCTGAGTTTAAGAGACTATGAATACATAGTAAATACACAACTTAAGCAAATGCAGACCTTACAAGCAAACAGGAATTTTTCTGAGTTTTTGGACATTATTTCCAAGATTGTTATTAGGAAAAACTGTCTCCAGAAGTACAAAGCCGCTTCCTTATCCTACCTTCATAATAAAGAAAATATTAACAGCTGATTAAGAAGTAGCAAAACAAGCTGAACATTTGGTATTTTCACCCAGCTTTTCAAATGAGCAGGAATTTTTTGGTAATTCATAAAAATAGAACATAGGATATAGAAAGTGTTTAAGATCGCTGATGAGACCTTAGAGAACCACTTTTAGATTACACCTTCTGGACTCCCTTCCATCCTGCCATTTCCCATGGGAGCCCAATAGCAGCAGTGCCAAACCGTCATCACCTTCTGATGGTCCAAAGAAAAGAATGGAGCTACTGTTTGCAGGAACCAGCCCATGAGGCCAGTTGGCGAGTTCCTTTCCTATCAGCGACATACATGGCATTCTACATGCAGGTGTTCAATTTTTTTTTTAAAGAAATATTAGCTCTAGAGCTGGGGTGAGCACTTTCCATTTTATCTCTTCAGTCCCATACTGTCTGTGAACAGCTCTCATCCTGTTCCCAGGATAAGCCTACTCCCCCACTTGTGTCTCCCCAAGAGCAGCCATGTGTACTCAGAACTTGTCACAGGTCACAGTGACCTGGCATAAGAAAGATCCCGACTCACACGGGGCACTGTCCTGCCATGTGGAGTGTGTACTGACACTGCACCCCAATCTGTCACCTTCCCTGACCTTTAGAGAGCTCCCTGGAATAGCTAGCATTTGTCTAATACAATCCTTCATGGGTGAGGCTAGCTAAAACAATCTTAGCTCATGTATCATGGTCCCAGGAAAAGATGCTTTTAATGGCTTCTCCACAATACAAATATCAATTATATCTCTAAAATATTCAATCTTCAGACTGGGGTTGTGGCTCAGTGGTAGAGTGCTCACCTAGCATGCATGAGGCACTGGGTTTGATCCACAGCACAACATAAAAAAATAAGTTATTGTGTCCATCTACAACTAAATATACATATAAAATATTAAATCTCACCAGTAAACAGAAAATGAAACCTAAACAGTAAAATATCCTGAATTTAACAAAATTATGGTAAAAATAAATAATGGCTAAGCTTTAGACAAAATTCAACACTGCTGGCAGGATACAAACTAGTACAACCTTTCTATTAAGTAATTTGCCAACATTTATCAAGAGCCATAAACATTAACTTTGGACTCGATTATCTTAATTCTGAGCAAAATAATCTGAGAAGCAGTCAAAAAAATATGCATATAAATGTCCACCATAGCATTACTATATGAAAAGTCTATGGGCTGGGGTTGTGGCTCAGGAGTAGAGAGTGCTTGCCTAGCACGTGTGAGGCCCTGGGTTTGATCCTTGGCACCACATGAAAATAAATTTTTAAAAGTCTAATAAAAAGAAAGAGATATGTTCTATTAATATGCTGGAATATTGTGAAGCTGGAATATTTTGAGAAAATTTTCATAACATAAAATTAGTGAAAAAAAGCAATAAGCAAGATACTATCACTCCCTGGGCACAGTGGTACATGTTTGTGATCCCAACAACTTAGGAGGCTGACGCAGAAGGATTACCAAGTTCAAAGTCAGCTCCAGCAACTTAGTGAGACCCTGTCTCAAAAATAAATAAATAAAAGAGCTGGGGATGTAGCTCAGTGGTAGAGTGCCCCTGGGCATTGCAAATAAATAAAAACTATTCCTTTGCATGTAGTAATAATACACAGCCATTAAAAAGCACACCATAGCTCCACATGTCTGGGGCATATTACTAGATTAAAAATAAGGCTGCCAAGAAAAAAGCACATGATTTCAATTTTGCTTAAAAATGATCATTACAGGGGCTGGGGGCTCAGTAGTACAGCACTTCCCTAGCATATGTGAGACACTGGATTCAATTCTCAGCACCACATATAAATAAATGAACAACATAAAGGTCCATCAACATCTAAAAAATACTTTAGAAATTGATAATTGGGGCTGGAGTTGTGGCTCAGTGGTGGAGTACTTGCCTAGCATGTGTGAGGCCCTGGGTACAATCCTCAACCCCGCAAATAAAAGATCCATTTATAACTAAAAAATAATTTTTTTAAAAAAAACTGATCATTATAGAGTTTATAATCTATATGAGTAAAACCTATGGGAGATGAAAGAGATCTATGGGGAATGTCATAAAGATACATATTTCTGTAATGTAAATGGTTTTTCCAGTGCATATCTTATTTTGTATGTTTTTTCTTTTAACTGAAAACTCTTATCACACATTTCTTTAATTGCAAAGGGTGCACATACCTTTACAGTTGAAGAATATGGGAGTTAACTGTTTAGCCAAGTGATCAAACTTAGTATCATTGATAATCAAATATCCTGACATTGTATGCCTGTAGATATGAGGCAAGTTGAAGTTTACACGATTAACTATATTCCTTTTTTTTTTTTTTGAGAGAGAATTTTTTAATATTTATTTTTTAGTTTTCAGTGGGCACAACATCTTTGTTTGTATGTGGTGCTGAGGATCGAACCCGGGCCGCACGCATGCCAGGCGAGCGCGCTACCACTTGAGCCACATCCCCAGCCCGATTAACTATATTCCTACAAGAATACCTGAACCAAAGTAGCCATCTAGACCAGCAGTTCTCAAACTTTAGCACATGAGGGCATCACCTGTAGGTCTTGTTGACACCCATGTTGATGGACCCCACCCCAATTTTATTCACAATTCAATCCAGTACAGTAGATCTGGAATGAGACCCAAGAGTGTACTCACCATGCACCTCAAAGTCCTCAGAGGATGCAGGTGTTGGGATCACATTCTATTGTGGGAGGCCATCTCGCATGTGATTTGAGTTACCTCCCTGGCTGGGTGAGAGGTGCTTAAACACAGCTGTGTCTAAGCCATTCCCCACCCTTTCCCAGTTTCAAGGGCTTGTCCATGCAGAGGCATGCCTGGCCACTGATCTGAAGACCCAATCGCCAGCCCTGACCATGGGATGATGCCCTCCTTAACCTTCATTGGATGGGATTTTCCCTTGAATTTTTTGTTCCCCAATAAAAGCTCACTCCCCGGCGTGCTCTCCCTCTCTTGCTAGTCTCTTCTGTAAACCTCACCACCGCATTAGGTGGCTGGAAGCGGGAGCTGGGAGAAGCCGTCTGGGAGCTGGGGTTAAAGGTAATGAGAGTCTGTCTCTATAAAACTCACTAGTAATTTCTTATGCACCAAACCTTCTTTTATGAAGCTCGCACTCTATAATTAATTAACTTTCAGTTTACAGAAATACAGGGATAAAGGAACAATTTAAATACTACCACAAAGAAATTACTACACAAATTCAGAATGTAGAACATCCTATAAAACAACTGTCCTGGATACTTAAAAGAGTTAATATCATGGGGGAGAAAAAGCTCAGAGAATCGGGGCTGTTCTAGATTAAGCAACCACAGAGACTTAACAGTCAAACGCATACAAATGAGTCTTTACTGGATTCCAGAGTAGAATCAAAAACAAAAACAGATAAAAATATGTCTTGGGACACCTAAAGCCTATAATCCCACCATGAGGCTGACGCAGGAGGATTCCAAGTTCAAGGCCAGCCAATTTAGCAAGACTGTCTCAAAACAAAAAAAAAAAAAAAAAAAAAGAAAGAGAAAGAAAGAAAAAGGGCTGGGGATTTTTATAGCTCATTGGTAGAGTGCCCCTCTCTGACATCCCATCTGATACTCTCAGGGCAGAAGACCCCCTTTTCTCTCATTCTCTTTTTTTTAATGATGTGGGGAGAGTGCAAGGGATTAAATCCAGGGCCTCATGCTTGCTAGGCAAGGGCTCTGCCATTCAGCTCTATCCCCAGTTGTAAAGTCTCTGGTTTTATTTTCTGCCAGGACACCTAGAAATAAGGAGGCTAGCCTTCCCGCTTACTTGGTGCTGGGTCTTACTCTCCATATGCCCCAGCTTGGTGTTCATTTTATCCTGCACCGATCCCAGCTCTGCCTTAATCTCCTCTACCGTTGCCTCCAGCTGATTCTCCAGCTTGTTGATCAGAGGTTCACATCGACAACCGTTTATTGGTGCCTAAGAGGGAAGAGGAAAAAAGAATCAGTCTGAGGGCTGGGGATGTGGCTCAAGTGGTAACGCGCTCGCCTGGCATGCACGGGGTGCTGGGTTCGATCCTTAGCACCACATAAAAATAAAGATGTTGTGTTCACTGAAAACAGAAAATATTTTAAAAAAAAATTAAAAAAAAAAAAAGAATCAGTCTGAGTCCTTTGATCCAGAAGGACCGGCTGTAGACCACAGGGATACAGATGACAGAAGATGAACTCAACCCTGTCCTACGAGCTCAGCTTTGGGTCCAGCAGACACTAAGAAGATTGAAGGTAAGACACGGTCCCTGTCTTCAAGCTGCTTTTTGTCACTCTGGGACCTCAGGATACCTAGTCACCTCAGGATGGAGCACAAGGCCCTGTAAAGGCACCCTGCTTGACAGAAGCTAAGAGGCAGGAGCATACAGCACCGTTTAGTGAAAATGCCATCTGGCTTGCCTCCTAAACCCGACCTTACCAAGCCAATGTCTCAAGGGGCCATCAGACCCCAGGAATAGAGTTAAATAAAAAATCTGGCTGGAGGCCACTGGTCCCAGTCCCAGCAGGCTGTGCAAGTACCTGCATCACTTTGCCATCCTTGCCCCGGTACAACGTGTAGAGCTGGTATGCCCTGAACTCATGGGGTGGTGGTGGGGACGAGCACCGGTGCCGGCCCCTCTTCTTGGGGTGGTGATGTGTGTGTGAGCTCTTCTGGTGTCCAGGCTGTTGGTCTGCTGGTGGGGTGGGGTCAGACAATGCTGACACCTGTGGGGAAGGAAGAGTCAGCACCCCTGAGCCCTGGGACATCTGTAAGAGTAACACCCAGACAATGGCTCCCACCTCCCCAGCTTTTCAGCAAAGATGTTTAACACAACCAAAATTAAAAAAAAAAAAAATACCAGCACATTCACCCCGAGTCTGAAATGAGCCAGACTTGATGTCTATGTTCTGGCTCAGACCAGCAGGCCAGGTAAGGTTCCTTCTTAGCTGTTGGCTTGATGAGCCCCAGGAATGCCCCCAACCTCCTCCCTCTTAGCTGTTTTCAGTACCTGCTGACCTTAGGCCTTGCCTTTCTCCTCCTGTCATCCTTGGCTCTGGGTTCCGGGGAGGCTGACAGAAATTCATCTCTGGCTTCCTCTTTTCTGAGTACAGCCTGTTCACTGCTGGGGCTGTCCCCTGCTGAGACACTTCCCTACAGAGAAAAAAAAATCCCAGAATCCTGCTCTGCTGGCTCCTTCAGTTTTTTTTCCACCAACAGGGTAAAACTGCTTGCAAGACTCCATCCAGTAGGAGACCCAGGGGCACCTGATGCTTACACGAACAGGGAACACTGCTCAGCAGTGTTCAACCTGATTGGTTAAATATTTTTTGTTTATTTTATTAAGTCCAAATGAAATACATTTGTGTGTCTAAATATTATGTTCTAGAATCCCAGGAATCTACCATACATGAAAGAATGTTAGAGATTTGGGGTCTTTTTTCACTTCACCAAAATATAACTAATCATTTTCTGAATTTGGACCCCCACAATTTATGTCAGAGAGTGAAAACCCTCAGAAATGAAAAAATATATATATGTATATACATACACACATATATATGTATATGTGTGCGTGTTTACATACACACACATATACATATATATGTATATGTGTGCGTGTTTGTGTATGAAATCTCATGTCTGGTCTTTGTCAGAATTTTTACAACTTAATATGTACAATACACATATAGGAACTGAAAATTATGGTGCCTTCACCCTGGAAATTGACAAAAGGATTTTGAAATAGAAGGGCAAGTACTGGATAACATTTTATGTGCCCAAATTCATTTCTATATTTAGTTTTCTTACTCCTGAAAAACTTAAAAGGAGTACCATGTACAACCAGGCAAGCTGTTCACTGCACAAAGGCACCTAGCTAGCGAAGTGAGGCAGAGGGGAATGAAATCCAACTCAGGCTCAATTTATCATATGCCCAGGGGACATCTTTTTCTGATTTGCCCAGAGAATCAATATGGGTCATCAAAGCCTTGGTTCATTCTCTAAGTGGAAACTAAGGAACCAACCCATGCCAGTGGTTCTCATGAGAATCACCCAAGGACTGGGTCAACCATGAACTGCTGGTCCTCACCCCCGAGTTTCTGATCCACTGGGTGTGAGATGAGGCCTGAGAAGGCATATTTCTAACAAAGTTCCAAGTGATGCATGGACACCACACTTGGAGAACCACAGCTCCACATGGCAAGGGTTAATGTCAGAGGCTTTGCTGTGCACACATCAGGGACAAAGGTGACAGACACATGGGCTAGTGAACATGCCCATGCAGGGCACTGGATGGGCGACGGGCTTCATACAGACACAGGATCAATATCTTGGAGGAGTGGAGGACGTGGAGCCCAAAGGAGAAAGATGAGCAATAGAGTTTGAGGAGCCTAGGGGGAAGGAGAGGCCGAGGCACGAGAGCCACGAGGTGAACCTGGCAGAAGGGGCCACTCAGGGGGACCCCCAACCTTGCTTTGGGCCACCTCATCTCTTGGCACGGACTGGGCCCTCCTTTCTTCCTTGAGCCTCTCTCTCCTTTTCCTCAGGCTTCGCCCACGACTGAAGCGCAAGACCTGAAGGAAGCAGATGGAATCGTTACAGAGCACTGGCGTGCACACGTCAGGTGTGAGAATTCTCCCTGACCTGGTTCTCTGACCTGAGGAACTTACAGCCTAGTGAGACACACCAAGCATTCACATGAAACATGAAACAAGCACCTCTGGAGCCACTATCTCCTAGGTCCTGTGCTGGGCATCACAGGAACCCAGAGAAGGGTAGGATATTTCCTCTGACCTCAAAAATCTCAGATTCTATGATAACCTCAACAGGTATGGCCAAGTAGGTGTGTATAAATTGTGCACTGCCTAACTCCAGGGAATGTCACACTGTGGCGGAGATACCAGATTGGATTATAAAATGAAGTTATAAGAACATTATGATAAAGAATCAGTGCCCAAGGAAAGGATTAATTTCTCCCCCTCTCCTCTGCCAGCCTCTCTGCAGGGAACCTAATTAACCAAGGGTCCCTATCTGTTGGGTTGTATATAGCTATCTCTAGGAAGCCTGAAAACTAACTCTTGATACATAAACATCTCTGACAGGCTTCAAGACCAGGGATGTAACAGATGCCTGTGAAGTTTCTTTTTACTTTGTAAACCTTTTAGGAATGTAGATATATCACTTAATTGCTAGTATAAATTTTAGGTCTCTATGCCAATTAACTGCTGCCTAAACTACACCTCATAGGCTTAGTTCTTAGAGATAACTTTTAGGGAGATAAACTCAAGTCATCTTGAGTTACTGCTGCCTATGGGAAAGGACACTGTATGATAACACTCACAAGTGTTTTACTGTCTTTGTTCTGCCCCTGTGAACTACTTATCATGAAATTTCTATACAGGGTCCTTGGTCATGAAGGCCAAGAATTGTAACCCACCATTATAGTAATGGTTAATAAATGATGTCAAATATCCTACAAAGAGCCCCCTGTAACCCCAGCTCAGGGACCAGAACTTCAGAATGTTAGCTCATTTGGGTCTGCAGGGATAAATAAACCCGAGTTCTCCAACCCTCAGAATGATGCTTGATCTCTTGCTGAATGTGATTTCCATAACATAAACGAGGACAAGAATGGTGTCACCTGGAGTTGTGTGATATGGCATCCCTGTGCCAGGCATAGTGTCATTCTTTTTTTTTTCTTTTGGGTACCAGGGATTAAACTGAGGGGAACTCAACCACTGAGCCACATCCACAGCCCAATTGTCTATTTTATGAGAGACAGGATCTCACCGAGTTGCTTAGTGCCTTGCTGTTGCTGAGGCTGGCTCTGAACTCACGATTTTCCTGTCTCAGCCTCCCAAGCTGCTGGAATTGCAGGCATGTGCCACCGTACCTGGCCATAGTGTCATTCTCTACCTTAGCACACCAGACCTAAACTAGCTCAGATTTTTCCCTTGGCCAAACTGTGTGCAAGTCATATTCAGTTTGAGTCAAATATTATTGAGCTGCAACTGTGAGCCATCACACCAGCTGTGGCCCCCAAAAGACGACATCTGGTCTTCCCTTCACCGTGCAGAGCAGCTGAAGGAAGGCAGACAAGTATGTGTGGGGTTGGACAAGTCCAGGTTCCACCAGAAGCCAGCTGAAGGATCTTCAGGCCAGTAATTTCAGTGCTCTATCCTCTCAAACAGAGTGGTTGGCATTACCAAGAACAAGTAGGTGGTTGGCATACAGGGGAGCCCCAGTCACTGCCAGGTACCTCCTACCTGACTTAGAATTGCTTCATGGGAAGAGGATGTATCTCCATGGAGTGCAGATCTGTGAGTGGGTAGAAATCTTCAATCCTGGGCCCAGAGTGTTTAAGAATGCAAAAGGGTCCTTAGACCAAAAACTGAGAAGCACTGCCCTAAGCCATTTCTAAATTCAGACTCAGTAGAAAGTCAAGGCTGATGAAAGAGTCTCATTCTGATTGCTCACCTGGTTTGTGGCCTCTTAGGAGATAGAGCCAAAAATCGGCCTGAAATTCGCTTCCCAGGCATTTGTGAACCCCATCAATCAAATATGACAAGTGACACTTAGAGGTCATCCAAACTCAAAACAATCAACAAAATTCCCTCCATTTACCATGTCATTAACCAGTGAAAATAACTTTGCAAGACTTACAGTCTTTCTCAGTGAACCATACCATCTACCAAATGGTACATCATTAATCTTTTCCAGTCCATGGGAATCAGGAAATAGCAATCTTGAGGCCTCGGAAAGCAGCCTACTTTTAGTGCCGCTGTGGCCCTTAAAATCCATGTTCCAATAAGGGACTAAGGCAGGGACACTTCTCTTTGCAGACAAGACAAATAGTAAGGCTGTTTCTGTCACTACACAGCTCAACAGAATGGCATGCATAAAATTCTATGCATATCTTAAAGTTCTTTATGTTGAGAATAGGTTAAGCATGTACAATTATGTGTGAAATAAACTTCCATAACATGTCATCCAATTTTCTTGCTCTTCAGTGTGGATGTGGAAAAACTGAAGTCATTTTTAAACAAAAACACAAAAGCAGAGCTTCACAGGGAATGGTGAAGCTTTTCTCCTTATAAGTGAAGACTCTTGGGTTCTGGAAGACACATGACAGGTGATTAAAGACACATCAGTCTTTTGGAGTGGGGAATTCTCCACCCCTCCAGGCTCCATGGTCTTTGTATAGCTGAGGATGGGTCCATCAAATTGTCAAATGCTGAAATGCCCAACACATACAATGAATTCTGACATTTATATACTACTCTGTGGTTTGTTTTTGGTACTGGGATTGAACCCAGGGGTGCTTAACCACTGAGCCACAACCCCAGACCTTTTTTGTATTTTATTTAGAGACAGGGTCTCACTGAGTTGCTTAGGGCCTCACTAAATTGCTGAGGCTGGCTTTGAACTTGCGATCCTCTTGTCTCAGCCTCCCAAGCCACTGGGATTACAGGTGTGCACTACTGCAGCAGGTAACCTGTGCTTTTTGGTCCATGGGAGACCAGCATTTTTTCTACTAGGATTCATGGATGTAATTCCATTAATGATTCTCTGCAAAAAGCTGGAGATGAGACATTCCATTTCTAGCAGCTTCTCACACCTGACTCCTATTATTAAGAGTCAATGGACCTTCACAGACCACTGAGAAGGACCAGCTCCACACTCAAGAGAGTGATCAATTTTGCAAAAGACAGAAGTCTCCAGAAACTGCTAGCCATATTTGACATGTTTTTAAAACTTATAAAGACCACATAAAACCCTGGACTAGGCTGGTATATAGCAGGGTAGTGTTTAGAATCTTGGCTTGAGATTTTGCCTTCTTGCAACATTAGCCAGAAAAAGATGGAAAACCCATCAGTGTTTACTATAAGAGAGTAGCTCCAATATGGAAAAAAACCTGAATGTCCAACATTCAGGAAATGGCTTAACAAAATATTCACAGCAATAAAAAAAGAACATTATGTTTCCATTATAATTATGAAGACTGCAGAGTATTATCCTTTTATGGTGAAAGGCAAAATATAAAAGGGTACATCCAGTGAGAGTCTGATTATAGAAAAACTGTGCCTCTGGAGGGTAATATAAAGAAACAGTTATTTGAGGGTACAAGAATTATGACCAGCTTGTAAATTTTTTAAATTTCTTTATTACTTAGATAATGTCAACTTCAACTCAAATGATAACATATCAGCCATCATTTTCTGAATAAGGGTCAAAATACCATTATTCAATAAAAAAGGAATGAATACTATACTTAACTGTCTCTACAGGCTGATTACTGCTGTGCCTAGAATGGTCCCCTCCCTCCCACCCTCCTCTGGGAAATACCCCGCCTCTTTTCAAAGGCCTGTCCCACTTGTTCAGCAGTGGCATCTGCCCCAGCAGTCCTCTCCTGCAGTGTTTTAAACCCGGGTGGCTGGGAAGTTATGGTCCAGGAAGCTGGTGATGATGATGACATGCTATCAGGGAACAATAGCACCAAGTATAAAGGGCTGGACTTGAAGGCTTTGGTTCATCATCCCAGAGGCTCACAAGGATCCCTACTGCCTGGCTAGTAAGCAGTATTGCTTAGTGGACAGCAACTCGAGAAGTCCCAATGACTTGGCAGCCCCATGTCATCAGTACAAGGCAAAGTGCTGTAATCCTACCTGGGGAGCTTTAGTGAGGAGGAGAGCAACTTCTGGGTTGTTGTGGTAGCGGGCGGTCTCCAGCGGAGTCTGGCCTGCCTAAGGAAAGGCACAGGGAAGGCAGGTGAGAAAGGGACACCAATGCTGCCACACGTGGCTCTCCCCAGGAGTGGCAGCTCCACACTGGGACACTCAGCCCCTGCAAGTGCTCAGCAAAACACAGCCATGCACAAGCCCGTCCTGCCCTTCAGCCTCATGCCAATCACCCAGGGCACCAAGCAACACCGGGTTCTCTGTGACAGAAGGCAAGTGTTGACCCAGGGAGCAGGAAGTGCTTTAGGAGGCAAATGTCAAGGGCATCGCCCACCAGAGAATGCTTCCTGGAAAAGAGGAGGGAAGGTCAAAATCAGAAGGATAGAGGAGGAACATTTCTAGTCAGGAAACAACACAAAGGATCATAAAATCCACTGGCAATAGATATTCCCTGGAGAACAGTGAAGGGCCACATCAGGTCGGCCATAGTGTCTCAGAAGATTAAGCCAAAACCAGGAATGGATAATGGTGGTTTTGAAAAGGAAGAGGAAGGCAGCCAGGAAGAGAGGGCTGTGCCATCCAGATCATGCTAACTCCACCTGACAGTCCCAGCCCTTGGCCCGTCTGCTATTCTTCCTGGCCTAGGATGGCTTCCAGGTCAAACCAAGATTCACCTCCCAAGCACATGAGACCCTTGTCAAGGCGGCATGTGGTTCTGTTCGTGGAGATCTCAGAACTAATGGCCTAGGCACCCAGATCACATTTATGTCTGACTAGGGTTTCCTGGAGTCATGGAACAGGATTAAATGCAGAGGCTAAGTAGTGGTGGGCTGGTTGCCAGAGCAGGTGCTAGGGCCATCTAGAGAAGGCAGGAAGAGGAAGGGAAAGCTAGACACAGAGCTAGCAAAGATCAGGAGCCTTTCGTCAGGTCAACAGCCCAGAACCCTACACGGCTATCCCACCCCAGGCCCCTCTGAGCTTCTCGGAAGGGCAGAGACTGGAGGCTAGCCTCGAGGAAGAACAATGGCTTTGACTGGTGCCTGTTATAGAACATGGGGAGATGGAGAAAGAAGGAAGGAACAAGGAGCAGTGATTTGGGAGTTCAAGGCTGGTTAGTCTAATGACTGAGGCCATCTTCCTGAGGCCACAGGTGCTCACAGGTCTGGCACTCACTTTTGGTAACATCCACTTGCCAATTTGGATACCTCTGAGCTTCTTTTCCTACCAAGTTGTGCTCACTGCTGCTAGGTATGTAAAGGAGGGCCCTCAGGGACTGTCCACTCCTGGTGCTGTGTAGTGCTGGGGTCCCCTCCAGCCTTCCCCAAGGACCCCAGGGGCTATAGCTTCAGTGGAGCTGGCTGGATCCTCAGGGTCTGCTGTGGGTTAGTGGAAACACCCACCCCCCATCCTGGATGGAGATGAGAAAGCCTTCAGGAGACCACTGTTGCAACTCGACTTACATTATTGATGATGGTTCCATCTGCTCCAGCTTCTAGTAAGAGTTTAACCACCTTCTTGTGATTTAGGGCAGCAGCAACATGAAGGGCTGTGTCTCCAGCCTGAAAAATCAGACAGCATGCTGACTCCACCTGATGGTCCCAGCCCTTGGCCCGCCTGCTATTCTTCCTGGCCTAGGATGGTTTCCAGGTCAAACCAAGATTCACCTCCTGAGCACATGAGACCCTTGTCAAGGCATCATGTGGTTCTGTTCAAAGAGATCTCAGAACTAATGGCCTAGGCACCCAGATCACATTTATGTCTGACTAGGGTTTCCTGGAGTCATGGAACAGGATTAAATGCAGAGGCTAGGTAGTGGTGGGCTGGTTGCCAAGAATGATGGGACCCAAGGCTTCACCAAGGCAGGATGATGGGCAGGAAGCCCACGGCCAGCAGGCTTCTCATCCCAGAGCTCTGGGTCCTGCGCCTCTGCCCAGGGATTAGAGGTCAGAGGAACAGTTGGTTTCTGAGTGCTGGACTGAGCAGAAGCTGAGGGGGGGGGGGAAGACTACTTCTGCAAGCACTGGAGGGGTAACAGCCCACCCTCAGCCAACCTCATGGACTCAAAGGGGCTTCTGGGACTCAAAACAAAATCCATCTTCAGATTCAGGGTGTTCTTCGAGTGGAGACACTGAGAAAAGTTCAATTAAGACTAGTTGTTTTCCACCTCTTACCATATAGCTTACAAATGTTCATATTTTATACAAAATGTTTTGTAATAAAACACAAAAGGTTGCCTGATTTAAAAATTAAACTTTATGTGTGTACAGATTAAAAAAATAACACACAAAAGGTGTTTTAGACAATTAACTTTGAAAGGAAGAAAGACAACTGCAACTTTGGAAAATGACAGCATCTGGAATTAACCTAACAGAATGACAGAAATATACCCAACAAATATAGGAGAAGTGAAATAATTCATTCTCTTCCCCTGCCAGGTGATTAGGCAAAGAGCCTTGATGCTTTTTTCATGGACAGCATGAAAATGTAGCCATCTGTGAGTAGCAGCAACAATGTTTATTTTATTTCACAGCCACTCAGTTGTGAGTGTTGGGGAAGCTTGTGGAAGTGGTTTCCAATCTTGGCTGCATACTGGAATCCTCAGCAGAGCTTTAAAACACACCGATGCCAGGGTTCCACTCTCAGACCCGGTTTCCTTAGTCTATGGTGGGCAAGGGCATGGGAATTGTTAAAAGCACGCAGGTAGCTGTAAAATGCTGCCAAGCTTGAGAAGTGCTGCCTGGTGGGGGCTGTGGACGGGTAATCTGATCGATGAGAACCCACTGGGGAGGTTACAGAATGACAGGCTTAGCTATTTTATTAGGTCAGTGGTTCTCAACCTGGCTGCATATTCAGACAAGGAACTTTTTTAAAAAGTACTATTGCTTGGACCTCAAGCCCGAGATTTTGGCTCTTCTAAACTGGAGTGGATCCAGGAATGGCATTTTTAACTCCCCTGTTGATTCTCACATGCAGCCAGAGTCAAAACTACTGTTATAGGATATATTTAATCTGAACCACAATCTAATGTTTTTTAAATTTTAGATTTATGCATCCAAACTTGGAAAAGTCAAACTATGCATCATTTAGATATCAATAAATATCAAAGACTATTTTATCCAAATGACTAATGATAAACATGCACATTTCCATGGAAGACTATCATAATTACAGCTTCATTTCAAATTCTTACTGTATGCAACAATACAGTTCAGGTACCCAACTTTACAGAAATAAGAGACTCCAGCTGCTCAAATAAAAGTGGCAGTATAAGGAGAAAAACTTGGAGTCAAAAGTCTCTCGATTCCCTCCCTCCCTTCTTTACCAAGCCACACTCCTGTGGGTTTCCTTTTCAAAACTCACTATAAACAAAGCCTGCCCCAGGATCTCAAAAAAAAAAAAATTCAAAATGCAAATGTGGTGATATGCACAGGAATGATAAAGGGTGTGCGTTCCCCAAAAGGCCAGATTGGCAAGACCAGTGGGACTCCATAGGATAACCACACAGAGACCAGTGCTGGTGGAGTCCCAAGCAGGTCAGAGGGCAGCACCTCCCAGCAGCCTCTGCTCCTGGCTGTGCTAACACACGTGTCAGGTAGCCTAGTACGAAGGATGCCACAGCCATGAAGAGGATACATGCACTGACCTGGTTCTTTTCATGGACAGAACAGAAAGCACTGAGGAGGAGCCTAATGATGGACAAGTGATTATAGCGCGCAGCAACGTGCAAACAGGTGTCGCCTGCCTGCGGACAGAAATCAAACTCTAAGCACAGTCAGCAATTACAAAACAAAAGAGAAACATAAAAAGAAAATATCATTTAAAAGCTGGAAGATCATCATATATTCATTAGGGGATGGTACCCTGAATAATAAGCAACTCAACATAAACGCCCCACTCCAACCCTTGCAATCCTGTCTGCTGTGGCTGCCATCTGCAGCCCTGATTTTCACTGGGCCGAACCACCATATGGTTTGCTTTCATGTGTGTGAGATGGGATGCCTGCTCCCCGTGAGACCTTTGGCAGAGCTAAGGCAGATGATAAGGATCCATGGACTCCAGCCTACCCTATAACCCAAAGGGTCTGGAGTAAACCAAATTAAGACCACCTACAGCCTTGCTTTGGAAATGAGCCTTTCCAGCATAGACCCCTCATGGCTGGTAGGACCCTAATAATCCAAGTGGAGCCATGTGGCCTGGCTGCTGCTGTCTGCACCCCTTGCTGATGAGCCAGCAGTCACTGGGAGTTAAAAAGAGCATCCAGAAAGCTCTCCCTTAGTAGGCAAGAATCTAAGTCTGCTCCCAGAGAAATGGCAACCACCACAGAGACAGGAAGTTGTCATGCTCTGCAGCATCTCCTGATGATCCACGCTAGCTGTCTAGAGAACAGTGTCCATTCATTGTAACTTTTCCCCCTGGATTAAGAAGGAGACAAGTTCAATGCTGAGGTTCTAAAACTTCAGATGATTCTGTTTCAGATGAGTCTGCTTCACACAGGGAGATCTCAGCCATTTGTGAGAGAAACTTCAGATTCTCCTGCCAACATGTCTAAGGCATGGGATTTGTAAGAGAAAGAACTTCTCTGCGGAGGGAGGAGGGACACTCATGGGACCTTTCAGATCAGGTCTCCTCTAAGAACCACTAGCCCTTTGGCTCATGGGAAGGAACCTCAGTAATTAATAGGACCTGCCCTTTGTAGATGTTGGGAAGGAGCACCTACCAGACCTACCCCTAGGGTATCATCCCATATTTGCCAATAATAGTATGACACTCCACATGAGCAGAGACCTTCTTAAAATGTTTAGGCTTCCTAGACTGCCTCAGACACATGCTAGAAGAAATGATAAAAACAAACTAAAGACGAGGAGCAAAAAAGGATGGGAAATAAACAATATTTCCAAGTCTTTCGATTCCTCTTCTCATTCCCTAAATGACCCCTTAGGAAATTAGCAAAAAAATGAGTAATTTACAGACAGGCCCCAAACATTTCAATCTTTTCATGTAGCTATGACTGGGGGGTGTGTGTCATTTTTCAAGATGACACAAGTGAGAGAACACACAGAAGCCGGTTTCATTCACCCACATTATTTTTGAGGTCAGCGCGGGAGCCACCCAGCAGGAGGACGCGTGTGCTCTGGGAGTGGCTGTTCTGGCAGGCCAGGTGCAGAGCCGTGTTCCCCGCCTTGGAGAGAGGCAGAGAAAAGGGGGTATACATTAGCAACACTGGGGCACAGACCTGCACACCTTGCAGAGGGGTAATACTCGGGGGTAAAAGGTTGATGCTGGCATTCTCTGCCTCCTGACGGGGGTCCCAGTGAGGGTGTTTCAGGGGTAAGAACATTTAACATGGAATCCAAATAGGCAGACAAGTCCTGTCAGGAAACCTGGGTCTGCCATTTCCTAGCTGAAAGCCACTGGGTAAGGTTCTAGAAATGCTTGGCCTGGGAAAGGGAGCAAGATTCTTCCTCCCGAGGCTGTGGGGATGGACACAGAGTGCTCAGGAAGGCACTTCGGGACCATAAAATGCTGCATGTGTGCCAGGTGTCACCCTCTCAGAGAGGACTTCCTGCCCAACGTGGGCATTAGCTGTGGGCACAGCACTCTACCAGTGGTGAAGGAAAGAGGCCAAACCACTTCCTGAAAGTACAGATTAATGGTAATTAAGCTTTCACTTGTAGGGCTTTATCAAATCACCTGTTCTTATGTTTTTCTTGAAACATCAAAATTTGAACTGTGAACAAGCCATCCCACATAACAGACAACATCGTTGCACCTGTCACTCACCATACAGGCAGAGACCCTGCTGCTTTTGGACTCTACCTCCAACATATCACATCACAATGACAACCAAGGGTCAGAGTAATGTCCACAGCAATCTTGCAGAAAGAACTGCATGATGTGAACAAAACATTCTGATTCTATGGAATAGTGTCTTGGAGGGCTGCTGGTAACCCCTGGGAAAGCAACAAGATCAGAAATAAGGAAAGCAGAACAGCACAATAGGAGCAGTGTCATGCCTGTGGCATGCAGGGGGTTAAATACATGGGCTCAGAACTGCAGTCATGTGGGTGCTTGGCTGTTGCTAGCTGTTACTGCCTGTTGTCTGCTTCTTCCTCACCTACTTCCCTCCCCTCTGGGCTCACAGCACTGCCTGCTGAAACTCCAGGATGTGAGATTCCTGACCATTGAAAAAAGGAATGAGCAAATCAATAGAGGAAAACTGTCAGTGTTCACTTACTCCCCTCATAACCTAGGCACTAACCAACCTGTAGAGCTTTTTCTGTTACCTCCAGAAACATGAAGGATCATAAACCTGAGTTTGGGAACTGCTGGTTCTCAAACCCTGGATGCACATTGGAATCAATGGGAGAGCTTTTAGGAAACACCTGTGTTAGAAGGCACAGTGTGCATGCCTGTAATACCAGGTACTGGAGGCTAAAGCAAGGATCACAAATTCAAGGCCAACCTGGGTAACTTAGTGAGACTATCTCAAAAATAATGGCCGAGACGTAACTCAGTTGTAAAGTGCCCCCGAGTTTAAAAAAAAAAAAACACCCAAACACAGCTTCAACCCTCTGGGGACTCTAATTCACTTGGCTGGGGGAGTGGGGACATGAGACACACCTGGACTGTCCCAGTTCTGGCATGAAAAGTCCCACATTCTGGGAAATATCAATTTTAGGCAAATGGGGACAGTTGTTCTCATCAGGCCTGGTTTGTTTTTTGTTGAAAATTCCCTAGGAAAACCTAATGTGCAACCAGGTAGAGAACCACTGCTAACTTAGTTCAACTTTAAAGGATCTGCCCACATTTTAAATACTCCCATGTTGTCTCCAAATTGTGGGCCTCATGACAGACTTAAATACATGTTGAATAAATTAGTGAAGTAAAAGACATCCAATGGTTCTTAGAAATGCATCATACCAAAGCTTATTTTGCCAATAAGAAAATATCCGTTACGTGGAAAAAAAATTTGGATCAAGAAAATTAAACAGTGTAGGTTTGTATAAGTGATTTGTGGTACATCCATACAGTGGAGTACAACTGAGCAATCAAAAGGACTGGAGAGTCATGTATGTAACATGCAGGAATCTCAAAACATTAAATGACAGGAGTCAGACACAAGGCTGCATGCTTCAATATCCACTTATATGATATTTTCAAAAAGGCAAAACAGGCCTATGGTTGCCAGAATTTGGGAGCAGGGGTTGGGGGTTACCAAGAAGTCAAAAGGAACTTTGTTGGGGATGATGGGAACATTCTACATCTTAAACTGCATGCATTTGTCGAAACTCAGAACATTTCTAAAAAAAGTGAACCTTATGTATATAAATTCTACCTTAAAATCTGAAACTTTAAAAATGGGCCTATAGAAGGCATGTGTAGTAGACATTTTCTGTCACTCTGGGTAAGGAATGCCAGCTTCCCAGACAGGGGCTGCTGTATTTGCTGAATAAGAAGGATCTTTCTAGAAGCTTCCCCAGAGATTGTCGGCTGCAGATTATAAAAATTTCTCTCTGGGATAGCATGAGTTATCCTAGAGGTGCTTCTGAAGCCTCTGCCACTTATCTTGAGAGAGAACTTGGGGCTTTCCACAGTATTTTGGGGGGAGGCAGTGTGCTGAAGCAGACAGACCTGGGCTGGATTATGGCCCTAAATGTGTTTTAATCAAGGACTCCCTTGACTTCCAACCTAAGCTCACTCATAAACAAGGACCACTACTTCTCAAAGTTGTTATAAAAAGGAGATGTGATTACACACCAACTCATGTTCATGTTCACATGCATAACCCTGAAAAATGGTGAGTCAAGCATTATTGATGATATTGCCATGCACAGCTGCTGTTGTCCCTCAAGCTATTGGCCCATGAAGGATTCATGAGAAATATCTAACTAGAAAAGAGCTGCACAAAGCTGTGTACAGTGAGTGCCAAGGGAGAGCTGCAGGAGACAGCATGGTGGGCCTTCAAGGGGAGAGGTCTAAGTGCCTGGGGTGGCATCTGTGGGCACAGATGAGGGGTGGGCCACTCCTGAGGGTCACGCAATGGAAAGAGCAAGCCCACTGTGAGCACAGGAGATGCATTCTGGGAAAACCTCAGGAGGGGAGCAGGCTGGAAGGCTTCACTGGGAGGTTTCTGAGGAAGAGCTAGATACAGAAGACACAGCCCTGAGCTAGTCGATTTGTTTTGAGGCTTCTGAAATAAATTAGGAACACTTCGTGAATGTGAAGAGAGAGGGACAGAATAGACAAAGAAAACAGCCTAAGACTGGATGAGTAACCAGAGAGGGGAGATGAGCACCATGACTCAGTCCCTGTCTCCACGAGGACAGGAATGGCTTGCTTCACCACACTGTAATAAACCAAGAGAAAAGCAGTGATAGCCAGAGATTTCAAAGGAGGTCCAAGCCACCAGGGCAGGTTCTTACACTCCCTGCATGGGTCATGGTCTCTGAAGCCTTCTGGTTTTCTATTTCCTCAGCAGGCGAAACCCAGAGAAGTCATTAGAGTATATCTCCGACAGGTTGGCTAATATTAGACCTTTTATCTGACATTGCTTTTGAAGATCTTGCATGGAGATGTGTGCAAAGGGGTCTTAGGCTACAGATATCAGGTCTCAGATCCTATTTTGCCATGTGTTTGTACATATACTGTTTAAGGGAGACTTCGAGCTGCTGCCCATGATCACCATGCTGCTGTCACCTGGCCCCATTCTAGCACATCAGATTCATTATTCCACTACCAGGTAAAGCCACCTCCCCATGATGTTGACTGTACAGGTGCATTATGGGTAATCCTCCAGCCCTTCAAATCCCTGTCACACACCCAGCCCAACCTTCTAAGGACAGAAAAGAGGGCAAGCCCTTTTACAAGTCCTCCTCACCACACTGCAAATATCCCAAGAGGACTGACAATGCTTTTTATTTTTAAAAAATATGCCTCTTTTCTCAAGGAATAATCAGTGCATTTTGGAAATCTTGGGAAAGGTATAAACAAAAACAAATATAGAAATTCTCCATTCCCATGGGTAAAACTGTTAATTTGGTGATACCCTTTAAGACAGTTTTTTAATATAAATTTATGTTAAGCATTGAGATAAGTAAATGATTTCATACCCATTATGTTCTTCTATAACTCAAGACCATTATTTTCAAAACTGATTTTAATTATATTAAATGTGTTCACTATATGAGTGAATAGTGACTTTTAAATCCTTTGCCCCACATTTTTTACATTACAATTATTGCTGTCAAACATCCTTAAGGGTAAATTTTTACTAACCATATGTTATTGATTTTGAGAATAGAGTCCTAGGGAGGCAGTTACTCGGTAAAAAGGCAGAACCACTTTTAAGACTCTTGATTTTTGCCAGTTTGCCTCTTAAAGGTGGCTGTTCCCATCTCACTTCCCTAGTAGCACCTGAGTGAACCCCCCTTACCAGCCCACTTCTCCACATTCTTGCTACTATTGGGTATTGGCATTTCACAGTTCCTTGCTAACATTTTTAATGTCAACTGAGGGTTGTCCTTTTACAGTAGTGTCAATGCTGGGGACAGTGACCTGATGCAGGTTCCCAGCAGCACTCGGGAGTCTCACATCAGCAGCATTTCAGCACTGATGGGGAACTTGATCCTGACCAGGAATATCTATCCACTTTCACCCTTCTCTGCAAATGAAACTTCAGGTTCTCTATACACCTCTGAGCTCTCACTCTGCTGAGAGGAGATTCCTACACGGAGGGAAACCCACAGCCATCCTCACCTGTGAATGAGGAGTCCTAGCACCTGCTGGGCCTCACCTTGTTCCTGGCAAGCACATTGGCTCCTGCTTTAACGAGCAGCTTGGCTGACTGGCTGAAACCATGCCAGGATGCTTCATGCAGGGCTGTATTCCCATCCTAAGGTACACACAGGGGAAACGGCACATTACCCAAGACCTAATTGTTCTCATTACCATCAATATATCACAGTAGATTTTCACAGTACACCACAGGTTTTCTTCAACTGGGATGCCTCATCTGAGTCACACAACACAAAGAAAATGATCTGAATGGCCAGTCTCTCCATTCTCCTAGAATAGTTAGCTGAGATAGAGCACTTGTTTAGCATGCATGAGATTTGATCCCAGCACAGGGAGATAACCAAAAAAAAAAAAAAGCATAAAAGCTATCCAATGAATAAATAAAAATGAATTTGTGATGTACACAGACACATTAGGCATTAGGATTTAAGCCTCTCTGGGAATCTTATGTTGAGAAAGGCTCCAGGGCCCATCCATACCTCCTGATAGAAAACAACACCAACACCGTCAGGAAGGCTCACTGCCCTTTCCTACTCCAGCCCCCCACTGCCCCTGACAGCACAGGGAATTCTTCAAAAACAGAAAAGGAGAGTTCAGTTTCACAAGTTCCAGGGGCCTGATAGGTTAACCCCCCCCCCCACACACACACACTTTTTCACCAAAATGTAATGTCATCTAGTTTATTCTGAAAGCCTCAGGGGCATAAACAAATGAGCAGACACCAAGGAAACAGTGAGTGACAGGCATGTCCCCCTTACCTTGTCTTGTCTGTCCAGGGCACATCCCTCCTGGATGAGTGCTGCGATGATCTCAGTGTTCCCCACCACCGTGGCCCGGTGTAAGGCGGTCTGGTCCCCCTGCAGAGTGACGTGGAGGCAGGAACAGCAGTCAGCTTGCCTAGCACCACTCACTCTTCCACTCAGACACCTCCCGCCCCCACAAGGAGCAGGCTGGCTACTTGCAGAAGGGCTCATCACCACAGGCAAGGAGAGCTTTGAGGTCCTGTTAGTAGACAATGCACACTGGCAGAGCAATTTTGTTCATAAATTCAAGGAGACCATAAGCCAATAGCAACCCTCGGCCCCAGATTAACTTCAGAATGAGGCCCGCTCCTGCCACCCCAAGGGATGTCACGTGTGAGGAGCAAGTCTGGGAGCTGGGCTGTGTATGGTGTGCTGTGCCATTAAACCAAACACACCCAGTCTTCACCCCCACCAATATCCTTGGTATATAATAGGACTGTCCACGTCTCAATTTCATCCCACGGTTTATCTGTACAATTTAAGGGATGTCCAGAGTGATGAGGTCAGGATGCCTGGCTCACAGAGCAATCGTTCTGGCTAGGTCAGTTAGTAGCACTGCATCCTCATTGATTTATGCTGCATTCTGATCCTTCTCTGCCATCAGATTCCTGGGATTGCCAACCAGTTTTCTCCTTCAGGCGCCGAAGGGAACTTGACTCTTCCCCAGTGGCAGTGGAGAGAAGGATGAAACACACCCAGAGGTAAGAAGATCAAGACTGTAGCATGATAGTTCTGAGTCTCTAAGAGTACATCTTATTTATGACACACACTCAAGAAGTCAGGGCAAATCAAGTGAAGCCTGTGGTCTAGAATTGATCTCAAAAGGTGAGATGGGTGAACAGCAGGGAGATTTCCTGATAAAAAGGAACACTAGGCACAGGGCAAAGGGACTGTGAGACCCAGGTGGTGTATGTCCTTGGGAGACCTGTCATTTCACTAGATCTCCACTTGCTAAAGGTGAGGCCTGACGATCCCCAAGGTCCTTCTCCTCCTTTTATGGATTATATGATATGGTACACTCCCAGGACATCCCTGGACCTTAGCCCAAGAAAGGCATGAAAGATTGTTATGAGATAGATAACAACCAGGTGCAGTCACAGTTATAATCTTCAGCATGCTGAAGCAGGAGGACCACAAGTATGGGGCCAGCCTCTGCAACTCAGTGAAACCCTGTCTCAAAAGAGGGCTGGGGATATAGCTTGGATTCTCAGTTCCCCCCAAAAGATGAGATATTTCTCAAAAGAAGAATGCACAACTATAAATAGCCTTAATGAAATACCAAGTCAATTTACTAAACTCCCTGGATTTACACACATTAAGATTATTTAATTCAAAAAAGTTCTGAAGATGCACAAAATTGTGAACGTATGTAATGCCACTTAATACCTCTGCCATTTAAATGGTTATGACTGGGAATTTTGTTATATGATTTTATCATGATTTTAAAAAATCCTATTCAATAGTCAAAATTTGCTTTCTTAAAATTAAAGTCTCCTTTTAAAAATCCCCAAGGGGAAGTAATTCTTATTTTATTTCTTACAGTTTTTAATATTTTCCAACTTCTTATTTTTAACACCTATAACTTTGAGCAGCAGGGAAAACCATTACAATTAAGTTTAAGCAATAACAATATACCAAGAATAGAACTGTCCATGTCTCTGAATTTTTATTTTTATATATATATATATATATATATATATATATATATATATTTTTAGTTTTTAGATGGACACAATATCTTTGTTTATTTTTATGTGGTGCTGAGGATTGAACCCAGTGCCTCACACATGTGAGGCAAGCGATTTGCCACTGAGCTACAATCCCAGCCCTCCGAATTTCATCCTACAGTTTATCTGTACACTTAAGGGATGTCACGAGGGATGGAGTCAGGACATCTAGTCACATTACCACAACTGCATCCACTGCCCTCAGCACTAACGTCAATGACCCTCTGCTTGGCCTCCTAAGCTAATATTCCACTATAAATTAGGTTTAGACTGGTTTTCTTGTCCACTTTTCCAGTCCACTTATTCAAAGAGAACTCTTTCTATATACCAATGTGGTTAAAAGGAGAATGTGGCCACGGGATCAGTAATGGCAAGATCAGTAGTGGCAAGAGGTGTGACATTACAGTGTCCATTTCAAATACCTTGGGAAGCACTTCTGGAGGAAGAAAACTTGATGCCTAACAACTCATCATAGGAGCTACTGTCCAAGTCTTAACTTTTAAAAATTCCATAAGATGCCGGGCACAGTGGCTCACTCCTATAATCCCAGAGGCTCGAGAGGCTGAGGCAGGAGGATCATGAGTTCAAAGCCAGCCTCAGCAAAAGTGAGGCGCTAAGCAATTCTGTGAGACCCTGTCTCTAAATAAAATACAAAAAAAGGGCTGGGGATGTGGCTCAGTGGTCGAGTGCCCCCGAGTTCAATCCCCGGTACCAAAAACAAAAAAAAAATTCATAGGAATTTCTAAGACTTTCCATTTTCCTATCAGAAAAGAGGAATTTTCCCAAAATTAGGCTCAGGTGTGACTTATTAGTATTGACCTATTTGAGGAGAAAGATGGTGCTCTGTCCTCAGCATGACTATGAGATAGCAGCCCATTCTTTCAGGGTAGGGTAGTGTTACCTTGGTCAGCTTTCCAAATTTCTAGAGGCCTTTTAATACCATGACAACTACACTCTACCTAGCCAAGGATACTACCCTTTAAAAAAAAAAAAAAAAAAAAAAAAAAAAAAAAAAACCTCTTTACAAAATAAAACTTACTGTTCTGTTCATGCCATGCATAAAGCATAAGCAACAAGCCCTGAACACACAGCTTGTGGCAGTCACTCTTGCATGCAAATGATCACAAGAAGAGCCTTCAGTGGTCAGGGCACCATCTGACCTAGGTCATGGTCCAGGTTGAATGTTTCATCACATCTCATACCTGCCCACTAAATCATGAGCTGAGGCAGCTTTGGAGCCAGAGTAGCACCATTATTTATTACTGGCCTTCATTGTTGACCAAATGTATTTGCTTCCCTCAGGACAACTTTCCTTTGTGAATCTCTCATTCAGTGCTAGCAGCTAAATCTAACTTTTTTGGTAGTCCTTTGGAGTAAATTTTCAGATGAATCAAGACCCGAAGAGCTCTAACTACTGAACACGAATTGATGCAAACTGGCTGGCACAGGTGGCTCCTGCCTGTCCCTTTCCCTGTAAGACTTTTCAGCTATACTCACTACCTGTCTCCAGGCAACAAGCCCCCCGAACCCCGCAGCTTTCCTCCTCCCCAACAGAGACCCACTCAGAGCCTGGATTCCTGTTTCCGTGGTCAGATAAACACTGCTGTACAGGCTACAGCCCTCTCCCCAGCATCTGTCCTTGGCTGGACAATTGGTTTTGCTTACACCATCTGGAATGGTCCAGGAGGGCTGAGCAATATACTTCCTCCAGCTTTTAACAGCGGCCACTCTGAAGTTAGCAAGACGAGAAAGGCTCTGAGACAAAACACATGAATAAAGGGCTGCCTTGGGCTGTCACCTTGAAAATACTCTCCCCAGAACATAACACAATTTAATACCCTGAAACCCTCAGTCAAAAAAAGATCAGTTACCTGTGAACTGATTCTTGGCTCCTACAAAATTAAAATTTACTGTTGAAACTTTTGTTCTTTTAAACATGACACAAGAAAAGTCGTGGCCTACATACTGATGAATCCAAGGAAAAAAAAATTTTTTTTTTGGCACCAGGGATTGAATCCAGGGGCACTCAATCACTAAGCCATACCCCCAGCTCTTTTTTATTCATTTTTTGAGACAGGTCTTGCCAAGTTGATTAGGTCCTTGCAATGTTGCTGAGGCTGGCTTTGAACTTGCAATTTTCCTGCCTCAGCCTCCCAAGCCACTGGAGTTACACCACTCCCAGCTGGACTGAAGCAACTCTGACATAAGGATTATTTCTATCCCATCTAGATCAATCACAAAATTCTGAAACGGAAACCAAAATGCTGGGGAAAGATAGCTTTCCCCAAATCATTTAGACTGAGTATTTGATTCCTACTACATATCAAGTAGATGGCATCTAATTCTCTCATACTCTGATAAGTCTCACCTAGGTTAACTAGCTAATTCAAGATAGCATGGTTAGACCAGAATGCAAATGGTCAAGGCTCTCTGCATTTACCCCAGGGGCTTCCAACCTGTGAAGCCAATTAACCTTAGGCTGAATCTCAAAAAAGACCAGGTACCTCTGTGAGGTTGGGACTGCCTCGTTGTGTAAGCTAAGTACTCAGTGTGGCATCCTGGCCACTGTGGGCACCCAAGATGCGTCTCTTGAATGATTAACTGCAGAGAAGTAAAGGGAAGATGCTGCAGCCAGAAACTTGAAGAGCCAGCAACCTCACAGTTTGGCACTTTGGGGCAGAACACACTGACCCATTTGCCAAAGAACAAACCACCAGCCCCCAATTTTTTTTGAGACATCAATGCTTCTCACTTCAGGGGCTCTAAAGCTCTCAGGTCTAAATCTTTGTTTTTGAAATACTTTATTTTTCTCTCCTACGTGGTGAAAACCAGTTAGTATTCCAAAGCGAAACTCACGGAGGAAACACCAGTCATGCAAGGGTGGAATGTGCCCCTCTTCGGGAGGAAGCCCCAGGTGGAAAGAGCAGACATGTTTCAAGGAAGCTCAAAGCCAGGTAGGTGTGTAAAGCAAGCCTCTGACCTCTTTCTCTCTCTCTCTCTGATCTTCTAGGGTTCTTCCTAGCCTTTCTTCTCAGGTTTTTCTTATTTTTTTCTTCCTTCATGTCTTTTACTGTGGCCATAGGGTCCTGGACTATTTCTGAGGTGGGGATGGTGTGATTACTCATTGACCAATCAGAGATGGCGTTAGAACTCCGCTGAGGGTTGACAGCATTGTTGGGAAAGATGCGCGAATTTGCTTCTGGTGTTGCATATTCTAAAGAACTGTTTTCCACAGGTTGAAATTCATAATAATCCCACTCCAGGCCACTGGAGGTCATTCTTCAACTAATTCTCAGTCCTTACTATGCCATAAAGATCAGTATCTGTAGAATATGAGGTAAGGAGTAAACATTTCTATAGGTAACTTCTGAAGTGATTTACTCCAGTAATTAATCTCCCAGCTTCTTTAAACAAGAAATTTCTTCAAATTCTTGCTTAGATTTCAAGGCTGATCATCACCAGACATGGTGACATGGTATATACACAGCAGACAGACACGGATTATACAGTGACCAGCAAATGCAGGACTTCCAGACCCGTGGAGGTCAATTCTGCCTTCTCCATACCCATCTGTGTTTTTTTTCCACATTACTATTCTTGTGTTATGTTTTGAGTTATGTGGGAGAAACAAAGTGTGCTTTGTCTAGGAAAGGGAAAAGATGTGAGAGAATAATTCCAATAAATAAAAAAGGATGTTCCTGTCTCAAAGCAGAGCTGGCTTTCTGCTGACTTGTCTCACCTTGGCTACTTTGTAAGAACTCCTGCCTGTTTTACCTCGTACCTTGCCTGATAGAAATAGCAGCAGTTCTAGGAAATTAGCATGTCTTTTGCTGCATGAGGACACAGTGTTCCTCAGAGGAGTATCCTGTGGGGATGGGTTAGCATACCTGGTGACGAGGCTTTGACACCGTGGTGAGCAAGGGCTTTAATTAAGCAAAAAGACTAGATGATCCCAACATGTTTATACCAGCAACTCAAGGCCCCACCTGGGTTTTATGTGGTCAGCATCTCCTCCCTGTCCCTGTATTTTCCTCCTGTCATCTAAGGAGATGATATGAGTCAGGAATGTTATGTTGGTTACAATGTTTAAAAATAAAGTACTGTGTCTCAAGGTAAAAATCAACAACTTAAAGCTAAATTGGCATTTTCTGAAAATAACATTCTTGATGATCCAAGTCTCCAGATGTAACTGGAAATTTATGAGACACACAAGATGGCCTGCTGCTCATGCATAAAACAATGCCATATTCAGTTATTTCTTTGCAAATAGTGTCCTTTCTCATTTGGAAACACATTTGCCAAGTTTTAGGACACTGCACAGAGACTAAGGAAAACATGAATCACTTTAGTAAACCCTAGCACATACCTTGCATAGCTGAGGGCCTGAAATTTGAATAACACCTTCTTGCCAGTTATTTAAGGTAATTCCAGAAGAGGTTAGGATAAGGGAAAACTCTCTAAGATTCTCTGTTGCTCACAAATTTCTTATTTCTTAGAGTTCTACCACATGAATTAAGAATTGAAACAATTTCTAAAAATAGTTTGATTACATATCATAGAACCTTTTTCTAATAACTCATTGGAGAATCATTGAGACAATTCTTTCTTAGAGAATTCACCTTCTGCAAAGACCGAATAGGACAACCCTATGTGCATGTAATCCCATCCCACCCTCTGTTCATTGGCTCAGGAATTGACAGGTGACCCCAGAGAAGCCAATCTGAGTCCATTTCTCAATCATTTGAATGGAAGACTGAGATGTGGTCATGTTTCAAAAATAGCAGAGCGCCAGAGTAAACTCTTACTAGAAGCCTTTTCTTGAATTCTGTGAGATCTATGTCATTTTCCCCCCTTAAATAGGTCCTTGCCGACTAAATATATATATATCAACTAACAGAAATCAAAGTGAGAAAAAGAAGAAATTAAGTTTTTAAGCCCTACCTTTTCTCTAGTGGTAAATTTGTGGTCAGTGATACGCATCTCCAGCAGGCCTTGCCCGCACTCACTGGGGTGTGAATGCTCCTTTGTGTGAAGGCAGGACACAGGCAAAATGCCTTCAAGTCTCTGCACTTGAAAGCTAATAGAAAATGAACCATCCCACACTCCCAACCTCCAACTTCCTACTGAGAATGGACCTCAGAACAAGTGCTTCTGAGGAAGTTCTTGCCACAACAGGACTGAGATGGAGCTGAAAGTGTTGGGAGAGCATCTTCTTCCCTCTCACCTCATAGCTGCCCACATTTGTACTATGACCTTCTTGACTAAAGTTGCGATTTGGATCTGGAATCTAGGTCCCCAAAGTCTCATGTGTTGAAGGCTTTGTCCCCAGAACAGCAAAGTTCAGAGGTGGGGTTTGCCGTGAAGTAATTGGACCATGAGGGCTTTAACCTCATCAGTGGATTCATCCACTGATGAATTAGTAATTTGATGGTATTATTGGGAGGCTGCAGAAACTATAGAAGGGGCTTCATTGAAGAAGGTGGGTCACTGGGTATATGCCTTAGAAGGCTATATCTTCTCCCTGGCCCCTTCCTTGATCCCAGCTGACATAACCTGAGATTTTCCCTTCCACTAAGATGCTCTGGCTCACCTCAGGCCCAAAGCAATGGATCTGGTCAATTGTGGACTCTGAAACCATGAGCCAAAAAATAAATCTTTCCTCCCTTAGGCTGTTTTTCTAAGTATTTTGTCATAGCAACAAAAAGCTAACACAGCAGATAAGCTCCCCTGCTAACCCATTCCATAGAATGATGGCTTCTACTCACATCATCCTGGACATCAAGGTCACAGCCAGCCTTCAGCAAGATCTGGACCACAGAAAGATGGCCCTTATTGGCAGCAAGATGCAGGGGGGTCCGGCCATGCTGTTAACACAAAGCAAACACTGATTTTAGAACAAGATAGCAAAACTGCTTGCTCTCTTCAGGGTAGGGACAGGGGAAATTTTTTGCCCCTTTGATTTGGCAGAAAATTATTAATTTACCCAGATCTCAAGTTGTCTCAGTTAACTCTGGCTATTGGCATCATAATCAATTATCAATACATGATAATTTCCTTTAGTGTGTAATTTCTACTTCCCACTTGTAAGCAGCAAAATGAGAAAGAGTCTCATATCTTCTAATTTTCCCACTAAATACTAATATTATGGGATGATGAAGTGGCAATGATCAATTAGACCAGGGCCAGAGGTGAGAAACAGGAACTGCCAAGCTAGTCAGCCCTAGGAAAATCCCGTAACTCCTTAAAAACGGAACAAACTGATCAGGAAAGACTCTTCCTCCCTTTAAAAACAGATTGTAAAATGTTTCAGCCATCCAAAAATAAAGTATTTTAAAATCCACATAGCCCCAACCATTTCAAAAAGCATCAGTAAAACTACTCATGCTCCTTGTGGATGCCTCACAAATCTGATCTCCCCTCTAATTTGGTATTCACACCCCTCTGCCTTTATATTTTCACTGTTTATAGCCAAAGATAACACAAACAGATCTACTTATTTCAAAATCTTATGTCCACGGTAGTAAACTTTACAATGTGGCTCAGGATTTTTTTTGTCTAACATTACATTTTTGAAACTTTTTTGTATGGTCACCTATAGCTCCAGTTCAGTTCCGTTGTACTAATGAGCACCCACCTGGTTGTTTCCTTGGGTTTGCAGAGCATATTTGTGAGCTCAGCTCTCAGGCACTTCTCAGCCCTACAGATGCATCATGAAGACCATTCCCTCAACTGCTCTAAGCAGCACCTGGGCTCCTGGCTACCACCCTCAGTGGGAACACCCAGAATAAGTAACACTTTGCATTGTAAATTAATTTCTGTCCAGAGAACTGACCTTGTCACACTCCTACTTCTCCAAGCTCTGAAGGAGGCATTATGCCCCCTTAACTCTCCCTCAGGATTCACTGTGAAGGAAGGGTCAAACATCAATGAGCCATGGCCCCAGCCGTGCTAAAACACACCCGTGAGGAATATGGGTCTCACACGGCCTCTGTGCTGCTTAGCATCTTGATAAAGACCCAAAGGCCTTTATTGATATCCTAGCAGGATAAACCTATTTATGGTCTCAATAAAACACTAGTTTGCAATGGATAACTAGCCATTGGAGGAAAACAGATAACAGACAATAAAGGATCTTCATTTCTAGCCATGAAATGCAATCAAAGCACGAGATTGAGACTGGAAAGAGGTCAGAGCTCGCTTTAAAATTAGAATGCTTAATTAAGAACAAAGTTATTCTAAAAAAAAAAGTGGTCTATAAAAAGCTTTCATAAAAAAGGCAACATCTGAGATGAAAGAATGACCTTTCTTTGCCAGTGACTGTGCTCAGCCATGAGCCACTTAACCTTAACTCATTAAGTGAAATGTCCGTAGCTGATCAGATGGAGCAAAATGACCAGGTCTTCATTCACTGGGCCTGGTCTCAGACTCCATCTGCCATCACATATCTTCACACCTTGATACTGAGTGAATGACCTTCAGTAAGTTTCCTAAGGGGTTCTGAAACAGGCGAGTTCACCACAGGTGTAAGCAGAGATACATGTGTGTGTTGTGAGGAAGGCACAGCATGATAGGACACAGGCACCTCTGAGCAGCCAGAAAACAGACCATAATGGGAAGAGGTTGTGTGGAGGGAGGCTGGAATTGGGGCAGAGACAGAGGGTCACTGGATATCAGGGTCAGGGGAGCTCTAAGGAACACATTCATCAGCGACCACATGTCACTGCTAGGGAAGGAGAAACCCAGGAGGATGAAAGGTCTGAGTGAACATAAATAATCAGAAGCCAGGAGAAGGAAACACTGCTGTAGCTCTGCTGTGGACTAAGTGTTTAGCTCCAAAATCCAGATACTGAAGCCCCCATCACAAAGTAATGGTATTTGAAGATAGCACTTTTGGAAGGTAATTAGGACATAGCAGTGAGCTTTCGTGATGTGATTAAGGACTTACAGAAAAAGAGCCTGCTGCCTCTCTTTCCACCATATGAAGATGCAAGAAGCAGCCTGCTGCCTGCAAACCAGAAAGCAAGGCTCTCACCTGGGTAAGCTGGGTGTTGCCACCCTGATCTTGGACTTCCCAGTCTCTAGAACAGTGAGAAACAAATGTCTGTTGTTGAAGCAACCAGTTGATCAAAGACAGGTTCAAACCAGATCGAATTTGAGAGGGCACTTTAGAAACCATGAACAAGATGACCCTGGATGGAAGCATCTTCCTAATGCAAAGTCAACAACAACAAAAAACCCTCCCTGTGGAGAAATGAAAGGCCAGAGGCACTAGAACTGGAGAGGCCTGGTATAAATCCCAGTTCTGACTAATAGCACCTGTGTGGCTTTGCGCATGGCAATTTCCTAAGCCTGCTTTCTCATCGGTCAAACAGAAAAAGCCTCCACCGTGGACCCTGCAGGTTTGGGATAAGAATATGAGCCAACACCCATCTTCTGAGTTTCCCTTGCTCCCACTATCCTCCACCTCCAAGCCAGAGGACACCCAACTGCTGGTTTTCCTCCTTGACACCCACACACCCTGCCCTTAGGAAAGACCAGCGAGGCATTTCCACTGTAACAGACCTGGGTGAAGACTTGGGTCTCGTGTCACTCAGGCAGTCACATGGGCTCTGACTGGAGTGTCGTGGTTTCCACCGGCCTGTCCTTGACCCGCTTGTCTGCTCTCGATTTTTAAAATATAGGCCGAGGTTCCCATTCTTTGCATCTCCACCTTGCCATCAGGGCCTTTACTGTCTCTAAACCATGCCACCTCCAATTCCCCAAGAGGCCATGTTCACAGTCTTGCCCTCTCCATGGCTGTAGCATTTCAGTTCCCTGTTGGGGAAACTACAACCTTCTGCTCTGCGTGTCCACTCTGGGAACTGGCTTCCTCCAACAGGCCTGCCTCCTTAAGGGGTGGCCATACTGAAGAGGCTCCAGTGGTCCTTGAGCACAGGGCCCGGACACTGGGACATATTTCAGTCCCAGGTTTGACTTCAGGGACATAGATGAGATGGTGGGCTGGTTACAAACTCCAGTTTTAGGATGTCTCAGACCCTCAGAGGAGACTTCGACACCTTGGAGGCTTCAGGAGCACTTTAGCAGTGACAAAGGGGCTTCTCTGAGGAGGTTCTGTGTTCCCTCACATGCTTACGGACCTGGGAAGGGTGCAGCAGTAGCAAAGGCAGAAACTGTTTTCCTGTGGAACATGAGTCTATCAGCCCCCAGGATCCTGGGTTTTCTCAACACAAGACCAAATCCCTCAGACACACACCACCAACCGAAGGAAGAAAAATGCAGAAATGGGCTTAGTTTTCCAGAACATTCTATAGCAAAAAGCCACAAAAACAGGGCCCTTCAGAGGAGCAGCTGCTTACACTCAGTACACAGAGATATCCCGGACTGAGCCTGGTTTATGGGGAAAGCTGGAGCACTTTCAGAGGGAGAAGGCAAACAAAAACTGATCCTTACGACACTTCATGAGTGATTCAGACCAAAGGATGCAACTGCTGTTTCCACGTCCCTGGGACTTTCTAGCTGAAGAAAGGCACACAGGAGAATGACTACTTACTATGAATGACAGAAGTTGTTTTTGAAATGTCAATTTCCCCGGAGTTTCACCCCAATTATCCTCGAAGCCAGTTCAGCTCCACACACCCAGGCCCTGGTGACCCAGGGAAACCAATACTGATGAAGGTCTGCTAGGAGCAGCAGGCACTGCCTTGAGAACTTCACATCTGTTAGCTCATTCAGTCCTCCCAACCCCATAAGGTGGATACTATTATTCAGCTTATTTTACAAATGGGGAAACTGAGGCATGGAGAGACTGTTGTTTGTTCTATACCACATAGAAGGTAACTGGAGTATGTGCTCACCTCTTAGACCACCTGACCCCAGAGCCCGCGCCCTTACCCCTACATGCTGCCCTGGTGGTGCTGAGGGGCCACCTAGTAGAGGGAGTTTTTTCTTGCTGTCAGGAAGCTCCCAGGTCCTTGAGTATTGTGTGTGAGCCCAGACACTAACCTCTGGTTTCTTAGAAATAGCCAGGTTCTTTCTAAGATCTCTGGAATGAGCAGTGGTCTTCTAGTTTTCCTTTGCATTGAATCTCCTGGAGAGGTTGGTCTGTGTCATTACTGATGCCAGTGCCCCTCCTCCGGTCTGATTGTGATGAGGCCCTGGTGTCAGGTTTTTATACACCTGGTGACTTTAATGTGTGATGGGTTAAGAACATAGGATGAGATGAGGAGGGGCCCAGATAAGCCCTCCCCAGAGCAGCCCTCAGGTAAACCTGCTGGGCTGGGCCTGCCCAAGCAAGAGCCATTCCTCTTTTTACATTCTTCATGATGCGCTCATCCCCACCTGTCAATGCAAAACATCCCAAATACTGCACCATTAACAGCCCAGAGCTTGCCAGATCTTCAAAGATTATATACGCGATGTGATAAAATTACTAAAAGTTCGGAAAACAAAAACAACATCTAATTCCACAACCCAATTCAACTGTTATTTTTATCCAATTCTTTTCAGAGAATCTCTTTATTGATGTTTTTGTAGTTATATCCACAAGGTACATAAAATTATCTTGCTTTGTGCAATAATATACCTTAATCCCGTGACTCTTAAACCACATTGAGCTGCAGAACCTCCTATGAGAAGAGATTGCTGGGCTCCCTGTCCAGAGTCTCTGATTCAGTAAGTCGGGGATACAGCAGGAGAATTTGCATTTATAACAAGTTTGCATGCCACTTTGTATTTGTATTTCTTGTCTCCACCATCCCTCCCTTTTACATTTCTCATCCCTCTCCCCTCCGCTTCCCACCCACCATGAGCTGAGCAGCTTTTCTCCATCATGTTCTTTCCCCAAGATACTCTGCCTCACCTCAAG